GACCAGGTCCAGAATATGGCCTTTAGAGTGAGTGGGGAAGTTTATATACTGGTGGGAGTCCAAAAATGTTAGACAGGAGGTAAAATCTCTGGTAAGAAGATTAGCTTCATCCATGTGAATGTTAAAATCACCAACGATTATTGAGTTATTGAGTGAAATGAAGTCATTATTAGGATATTGGCATGTTTCAGTCACGCAGAGAAAGTCAAGTTTGTGGTCAGAAAGGAGATCGTGGACGAGATGCTCTTTCCTCATAAGAGAGCGAATGTTCAGTAGACCGAAGTTAATGCTGGAGTTGCCGTGTTTGACCATGTGATCAGCTGACCTGGCAACTTGGGCAAACATGCTGTGATTGATAATCCGAGTCTTTGCATTGGGAGGACGCCGGGTTTTGGTCCAGAAGAAGCTAACTGTGCCAGGATTTTGGACACAGAAACTTCGTCGGGATCCTCGATGAATACAGCTGCGGCGTGGCTGGAAGGCGATGACTGGATGGAGGTGAAGGGCTGCTGGTGGAGGGAACGGCAGGTAAAAGCTCAGCCACAAAAGTTTGTTAGCGGAGTAATGAAGAAGAGGGAGGCTACCTACTCATTCACCAGGGTAAACCCCAACACACAGGCATCAAGATGGTGGGCAACAAGTATGCCCACCCCTGCTCCGCACCTCTCATTGGGAGCAAACTGTCCGTCGCCTCAGGAGAGGAAGGCAGCAACTCGCTCCCGCTGTTTACAGTGGGGATGGGGAACTGCTGACGTCAACTAGGGCTATGGTCGGATGGTGGAAGGAATACTTTGAGGAGCTTCTCAATCCCACCTACGCGTATTCCGAGGAGGAACCAGAGCCGGGAGGCCTGGGGATGGACTGTCCAATCTCGGGGGCAGAAGTTGCTGAGGTAGTGAAACAACTACACAGCGGCGGAGCCCCGGGGGCGGATGAGATTCGTCCTGGGTATCTCAAGGTTATGGATGTTGTAGGGCTGTTGTGGTTTACACGTCTCTGCAACATTGCGTGGTCATCAGGGGCAGTTCCTGTGGAGTGGCAGACCGGGGTGGTGGCCCCATCTTTAAGAAGGGTGACCTGAGGGTGTGTTCCAACTATAGGGGGATCACACTCCTCAGCCTCCCTGGAAAGGTCTACTCCAAGGTACTGGAGAGGACGGTATGATCGATAGTTGAATCTCAGATTGAGGAGTAGCAATGTGGTTTTCGTCCTGGCCGTGGAACTGTGGAGCAGCTCTATACCCTTGCAAGGGTGATGGAGGGGGCATGGGAGTTTGCCCAACCAATCCACCTGTGTTTTGTTGATTTGGAGAAGGCTTATGACCGTGTCCCCATGGGCAGCCCTTATCTCCACGTGTTGAGTCAAGCCTTTGGGATCACTAACAGGGTTGGGAACCGGACCTCAAATTCCTGACAGGAGTGTAAATGGTCAGTAGATCATCTATGTGTCGCGTAGCTAGGCCATAGTCTCATAACCATGAGTAAATAGGACCCAAGTATTCAGCCAACACCAGAATGAATTAGTAATAGTTTTTATCTGTTGAGGACTTGTTGTTCTGCCCCAGATGCCGGGCACAGGGACAGTTTGCTGAGCTGCTAAGATTTTCCTGGCGAGCAGCACTTGAACAAAAACAGAGCAGTTGGTTAGCGATCTCTCACCATGGCAGAGACAACACAGAAGGCGTGGTCCTAAAAGCAGTCCAGGTTGGAACACGGGGGGGTCAGATATTAGGGAGGCACCAGGGTCCAGCAGGCAGAAGGGAGTCAGAGAGCAGGCAGGGGTTGATAGCCAGGAGGTCCAGGTCGGTGAGGATAAGCAGGCAAAGGGCAGGAGGCATGGGGACAGAAACAGGGTCAAAAACGTAGAAGAGCTTGGCTTGGCTTGGCTTGGTAAAGGCTGAATTTCGTCAGCAGGAGCTTCAGATAATCTGGCACAGAGCGGTGGCTGGATGAAGCTTATATCCTGGAGAGCACAGGTGGAGATGATTAGACAGACAGTCCTGAGTAGACAAGCAACAGGTGAGCATAGTTAGGTGGGGCACAGCAATGCAGAGAGGCAGGATCACTCAGGATCATGACACAGAGAGATTTCAAAAAGAGCAACACCTTAAACTGGATCCTCCAACAAATAGGAAGTTAGTGAAGAGAAGCAAACACTTAACTAAGTACATTTTATTTATACTGCACTTATCACATACAAAATGCTTCACATAGATGAAAACTAAATCAAACATAAAGAGCTCAAAACAGAAATAGATTAACATAGAAAAATAAAGTAAAATAAATGAAAAATGTAACAAATTTGAGTTAAAAATAAGAAAACAAAAGAATTTGGTAAAAGAAGCTTGAAATAAAAGGGTCTTCAGCTGGTTTTTAAAAGTGTCCAGACTGCCAATGCTACGTAAGGATAAAGGAAGATCATTCCAAATTCGGGGTGCAACAGTCAGGAAGGAGCGATCACCTCAACTTTTATATCTGGTGATATGAGAGTTATGTGATTGCACTTCCTTGTACCAGTTAGCAAATGTGCTGCTGCATTCAGGGCAAACAGTAGGTGATGTAAAGAGGAGCGTTCCAGGCCATAACACAGGGAGTAGCAGTGGTTCAACTAACAAGAGATAAACAGATGGATAACATATTCAAAGACAGTTGCTAGTAGATATTGTTCGACCCTTGCCAGTTGTCTTAAAATGATAAAAACCAGACTGAACCACTGCACTTACAGATGTAGTGTACCGAAGGACAAAAATGTGGTTATTTGTCCTCTGTAAGGTGAAAGGTCATCGCACAGAGTGTCCAGGCTGTTCCCCCTGCACTCGTCTCCAAACCAGTAAACACACCGCTCTACGACCTTGTTGCCAAGAAGGGAAGCCATAACAAACCCTTCTCCTGAATTCCCTTATTTTAGCAGAAAGCAAACCGGCAGAGTAAACATCATCTTCCTTAAATCATAAATGGCTTTACCACTTTATAGGCTGATATAATCAGATTTTGTTGAATGAACAAGATGTTTAAATCCAAAGTGTTTTAATAATGTGTGCATTAATCAATGATGTGTTAAAATAAATATTTTTCCTGTGATGATAAATTTCAGGTTTTAAATGGCACCAGATTAATATTTGTTGATTTAATAATTTAATGTCAGTATATTCACACCTCATAATAATTGTTGAATTAATGTTTTATCATTCACTCCACATAAATGTGTAAGAACATTTTCACTCCACATTAAGAAATAACCTCTAAGTATCTTGAGTGAAGGCGTTCTCTTGAGGTCTTTGGTACCGCCTTTAAAACATGTCAGATTCTGATTTGTCTAAAATTCATAAACAAACATCTTAGGTGTGTTCTTGCTGTGTTGTTTCTCTAATTCCATGCTGTAGTTCTTTTTTTAAAACACAGAGCAGTTCTGTTTACCTGTTTTCCCGCTACGTTTCGTTTGCGGCTGCAAACTTCCTCAGGCAAAAGTTGATGAATACAGAAATCACTTCCTGATCTAGTGAGTTCTCCAGATGCCTCTGGGTTCGGCAGACTGGTGTGAGCAAGCATTTGGAACCATTGTCTCTTTTGACCCCAAGGTCAAAGTCTCTCTGCCGCGCTTGTGAGTGATATCAGTAGCGGCTCTTTTAGGAGCCACCCAGCACCTCGTCTGACCTGCAGACCCTGGTTGCATCTCATGGCCGGACTAGAAATCTGAATTCAAAGAGAACTACGACTCTTTGGGATTCCTGTTACCATGACGTCACCACTCTGGCTGCCTTTTGTTCGGACCGCTGAGAGCGACCGTCACCCAAAGCTACTGTAGAATCTGCACGATGGTGTCAGATGGTTTTATGAATAATCTCTAGCTTATCAAACCATACAGCCAAACTGATTTTACAACCCAGACATCACAAGATCTCTCAGGTACTTACAAGATTCTGCTAAAACATCACATCACCGGTTATCCTGTACAACCATCATCTCCATGCTGTCATTCTTTTTTTAAAACACAGAAACGGTTTCGTTACCTGTTTTGTCGCTACGTTTCACCGGCAGTCCTCTGTTGCCCGTGGATAAACGGAGAAGGAAGTGACGCGCCACCATCAGCGTCAGCCTGAGGAAGCCTGCAGCCGCCGGCGAAACGTAGCGACAAAACAGGTAACGAAACCGTTTGTGTTTTAAAAAAAGAACGACAGCATGGAATTGGAACTAATACACAGCAAGAACACACCTAAGATGTTCAACCATCATCTCATTCATACTTTGGCCTGTATACTCATTAGATAGGAAAATAGAATTTAATTCATTTTAATAACTGTATCCTTGACTCTGTCTGAATTAATATGAAGTGTGTGTACCCTGAATAGTACAATAACCTAGAGTAATCTAAATCAGTTAAAGATCAATCAGATTCATATTTCATATTTATATGAGATATCACATCTTATTGATCACCTAACAAGTATGTAGTCAGTCCTCGCTGCTACACACATATTTTAGCCTTTTATTTTATTTACTGGGGTAAACCTCCGTATGTGAGCTGTCTTTAGTGAGAGCAAAGACAATATTATTGTACATCTTTGCAAAGACAAAAGATTTAGAATTACATTTTTGTGATGCCCACATTTTTGCACCTGCCTAATTCTGTTTAAACATTAATTGTTCTTTCTGCAAATCCTATAAGCCTTGTTTCAATTCACAGATATCACTGTGTGTTTCTCCCGTATGACATATTTACCTGAAATCGTTTATGATTTATACCGGAAAATCATAAAGATTAACAAGGCTGTTTCCCAAACATGACTTGAAACGTTTATTTTTGTTTGTTTGTATGTTTGTTTTGGTTTTTTTCGTTTTTGCTTCTTGTTCACTCTCGTCTCTACCAGTGTGTATAGCAAAGTGACATGACGTGTTTTCTTGTGGTGTTGAGACCCGTTAGGTGAAGCTTCTCCAGCGCCCCATACTCCAGAACCCAACAGAATTGATCAGCTGCCAGCCAGGGTGAGGAGAAGATTGGCCAGACAGTCCCAGCTCTGTCATCAGGTACACTACATAAATGAAAACCCTTTGGTCCTTTCTTGTCCACTTGAGTTTCCATGAAGCTGCATCCTTGTGTTGTTAAGTCTATCTCTTCGGGTTTTCTTCTGACCTCCAGGAAGTTGCTGCTTCCAGCCAACCTGATGGCCCTCAGGATGACTACCTTAGATCTTTAGGTGTCAGGATGCAGCAAGAAGCAGACTTAAGAAGTGAGCAGAGGAAATGAAACAGGTCAGCTGATGGCATCTAGCATAGACAAAATAACCCTAAAACATAAAAATCTGGTGGCGCTTCCATTTTTAGGAACAGTATGATCAAGTGTTTATATAATCCTGGAAAATAGCAATTTATATACAAAATACATCAGATGATTGTTTAGACTCCACCGTAGAAGTTGATTTTGATTTGATTTTGATTTATTTTGACAATGAAAAACAATACACAAGTAAATATTAATAAATGTGACGGAGAAATTGCCAAAAACCCTCAAGGAGCTTATTGTGTGGCAAACTCCAAATAAGCAATAAAATCTGACATTTAAAAAAAATTGAGATTTGAAACTTTTGAAAAAATAACTACAAAAAATGTTAGTTATTAATACAGTACTATTTGCTTTCCTTCCTACTGACCTTATTTACAAATCAAAATTTAAAACTCACTAAATTAAAATGTTAGTTTAATCTTTTCAACAGCATCAGTTTTACGGCCTTTTTAAATTGACTTTTTGTAAGTTCTGCAAATGATGCAGGAAGACTTTTCCATACCTTCAATCTTCAATGGAGAACATTAAACTGAGTCAGGGTTGTACAGGAGTACGTTGGCCTAATGAGTGAACTGCTAAAGGTTGAATACTGATTAAATTCATTATTAAAAGAAAACGTATTGTGAAAGTGTCGAGGAAGTAACTTTTTTATAGGACTGTAAACAAATAATGCAACTTGAAGCTGATTAACTAAACACCGAGAATACTCGACTGGGCAAAGAGAAGTTGAGATGAGTGTCTGAGATTTACAATAAAAGTTATTCTCAAGGCTCGTTGTAAAGACAAATAGTGGAGTGCAGTTTAGTTGGAATGGTGCTAGCCCAAACAACATTACATTAGTTAATATATGGATACAACATTGAACGATAAAGCTAACTTTTTATTAATCAGGTGCCCAATTTTCCCGAGTATACCTGTAACTTTGGCAATTTTTTTTAGTAATGTCTCTAAGGCTCTAAGGTTACAATACTAGATAACTGCCTGTGCAGCGCTGAACATGTACCTGTTATTATTTTTCTTCAAATCATTCTAAGTTTTAGTGCTGCTGTAACAAGTGAATTTCCCCACTGTAAGATCAATGAAGTCTATTCTATTTTATTCTAATGTGGGGTTTCTAGGATGGTAAATGGCCTGTATTTGATGTAGCACCTTCTAGAGTCCTGGAACCCCCCCAAGGTGCTTTACAACACAATCAGTCATTCACCCATTCACACACATTCACACACTGGTGGGGATGAGCTACAATGTAGCCACAGCTGCCCTGGGGCGCTCTGACAGAGGCGAGGCTGTCGAGCACTGGCGCCACCGGTCCCTCCGACCACCACCAGCAGGCAACATGGGTTAGCTGTCTTGCCCAAGGACACGACGACAGCGACAGGATAATGAATAGCCTACTAGGATGCCAAGAAAACAAGTACAGCTGACTTCCTTAGTGGGGATTTTATCAATTTGGATTGTCATTGAAGAGTTATGTGAACTAAATTTGTTACCAAATAATATAACATTTTTTTAATTTTTTTTTACGTTAAGTGACTGCTTTTTTTTTTTTACTTGAACCAAGTAGATAGCTTGTCAGGTGCTTCATTAACTTCTTTGTAAGAGTGACCAGGTCTTTATGGGGGTGAAACACACTGGTATCATTTGCAAATAAGATTTTTGAAAGTTTATCTGGAACATTAGGGAGATTGTTGATGTATAAAATAAAAAGGGTCTCAGCATGGAGCCTTGAGGTAACCCTCACTGAAGAGGAAGGAGAGAGGATTCTAATCCATTATAGTTAACAGACCGATACCTATCAGTCAGATAACTGGTGAACCAGTCAAATGACTTGTGACATACACCAAGATATGAAAGTTTTTCCAACAAAATGGTATGATTAACAGTATCAAACACCTTTGAGAGATCCAGAAAAATACCTATAGTGCTTTCTTTTCCATATTTAGCTTGATATATTTCTGTCAGAAATGAACAAGTGCCATGTAAATAGAATGCTTTGCCTAAAACCATGTTGATGAGTATGTATGATGTTAACTTTTGTCCAGATATTCACTTAATCTCTTGTACACTATTTTTTGAGAACTTTGGAGACTGTTGGTAAAACCAAAATTGGCCTATAATTGTCAAAGATGGCAGGGTCGTCTTCTTTGTAAACTAGAGTTATTTTGGGAACAACTCCATTATCTAAGGAAAGATTGAAAATATTAAGTAAATGATTAGATAAATAAGACCAAATTAATTTCAACATTTTGCAATCAAGAGAAAAACTCATTGGGGGAATGAGAAACAGCGGCTCATCCCAACTCTAATCCCTAAATAATAAAACGACTATAGAATCCATCTTCAAAAAAATTATGATGTATAAATTAGAAAATGTTGATAACACCCATAAATGTATGTTCATTTCAGCCATCACGACGTGCTACACGAAAGTATCCACAAAGAACAAGTACTTGGGCTGGTGGAGTCACCTGACTTTCAGGTCAAATTAACTTCCGATGTGGAGGTGCCGCAGATTCTAGTTTGCAGTAGAGCTCTGTGCGCCATCTTTTCTGCAGCTGGGTACTTCTCCAATGTAAGAAGGACAAAAGTAAAAGGGATTTTAAAAATGTGATTGGCCACAGATCTACTGGTTATGGACTGCTTACTCAAATGATGTCAAACAAGTGATCCAAACAGCGCGTCAGACCACTCGGCAAGGGCTGCTCAATTAATCGAATTTTAATCACGATTACGATCTGAGTTTTGAACGATTATAAAAAACAAAACAAGCCGATTATTTGCTCCTCCCGCTTGCGCTGCCCTGAGTTGCAAATGAAGCGCTCCTCCACAGTGTTGCCAACTTAGCGACTTTGACGCTATTTCTAACAGCTTTTCAGACCCCCTTCTTGACTTTTTAATCCTAAAAGTACCTAGCGAACACCTCAGAAACATCTCTGGTAACCCTTAGCTACTTTCTGGATAACTATCGTCGACGTTTCCTGCAGGTTAGCTAAACACTCCGCCTGCGCTCCGGACCGTTCTTCAGGACATTAGGAAAGGGAATGATGTAGTGATGTGTCGGTCGCTAAAGACGGCTCTCGGAGCCGCCCTGCTCCCTGTTGGAGTAACCAGAGTGAGTGACACACACACCGCACCTGCGGACTCCTGAGCCGCTAAAAACAGCTAAATGTGCGCGTGCGGCGTGCTAAACACACGTGCAGCTTGCCCCTGATTGCTGTGAGACCGGGTTGGGGGGTGGGGGGTGCAGCTGTGGTTGGGACAATTATTACGTTAACTGATGGACTTGTAAATAAATAGTTTGTAAATAAGGTAGAAATAACTTCCTCACGCTGATAAATAATAACTAATCTCTCTGAGGACACGGTGCTAGTGCACTCTCCTACAGCACATTGACACAACTCAATAAATGTTATGCAACATTTTGTGAACATCAATTTATTTGCATTTATTTGTTATAAATGCCACTGTATAATTATTGCTGTCAGTATTTGCAAGATATTGGTATTTGGTTCTGTACTGGTTAGACTTAAATGAGTTAAACCAAGGTCTATAGCCCTTGGGTCATAGACTATGAGCTATAAGTATATTGGTCTTTTATCCTGGGAATCAGGAGTTCTTTTAGTGATCATCTTGTTTCTTATTTTTGTCCTGATTGTGCTCTGAGCAATTTTATGACTGAATAAAAACAAATAAAATCAACATAAATTGAAAAATCGTCCTAAATAATCGTGATCTCAATTTCAGTCACCATAATCGTGATTATTATTTTTGCCATAATCGAGCAGCCCTAGTACGCCACATAGCCAGTCTGTCCTTGCTTATGACCAGCTTTAGCAAGTCTTTAAATGCCAGGACATCGAGACAAAGTTGGGAAAACGTTTTCCATCATGAGGTAGAAAGTGGCTTGCTAGTATCAACATACGCTGTCCTGACATCATTCATACATTCAACAGATAAGACAACAAAACCAGTCATATAAATGCTGCACAGCCCGCACATATAAATATTTTCTTTGATAAGATATACTATTTTTTATTTTAAGTTAATTTATCAAGTCACATTTTGTGTTTATTTACTACCTTATAATAGGCCTTAATTTGAGCTAATCTGATTTTCTGCCTTTACTACCCCCTTGGACACTGGTATTGTTTTTGTCTACAGGACCTCAGGACATGTCTACTGACTTCTCCCCTGTGCATCTGAACCATAAGGGCTCGGTAGTTCCCTGGATGCAGCCAGAACCATCAGATTGACTGATGAGGAGGGAGCGGTTGGGATAGGACAATAATGGGAAACATCGTTCCTCTTAAACATCATGTTCTTATCTTGAATAACTGTTTGTGTGGCTAAGCTGGGTTTGTTTTTTATTTATGCCAGAAAAACTGCACCTCAGGATCTGAACTATTTTTAAAAGTTAAAATCAAAGAAGCTCGTGTGTTCATGAGTTAATTTTTTATTGCCTATGTAATGCTTTTAATAAATTATATTTTCACATGTACTGACTTTCTGTAGTTTTCTTTGCCAGAACTACTGAGGTTTCAGGAAATATTCACCCGTATGTGTTGACATAGAATAGAATATACTTTATTCATTCATTCCAGGCCTTTGGCATTTACCATCTAGGTGACAAACCTCATGTAAGATATATACATGTTTTAGAAACCATATTGACTCGAATATATGACGAGGTATTTTTCATTAAAAATAATTTTAAAATGTGGTGTTGTCTTATGAACGGTTTCTAAGCATTCACACATGCTGATAGTTGTCTAGGGTCATTACATACCCTTAACAGCAGAGGGCGCCAGGCTGTACATTCTCAACAAGTGGAAAAAAATGGAGACGAGAGGTTCTGAGCAGAGTGGAGCAAGTGAACAAGCTACTAAGGCAGAGTTATGGTGCTAGTTTTAAGATGATAGTGGTGTAGCGTAGGCGAAGGCCATGTTATGCAAAGGTTAGGACACTGTCCACAGACTGCTTAATCAGTGTGCCACAGGTTAACTGTCTGGTCTCCAAACCAGAAAACATACTGCTGGTGACCTCACCACCAGGAGGTACAGTCATAACAGAATCTGTGCTTCAAGTCACAAGACAGAACTTAACCTAACAAAAAGAATCTTATTCTTGCTTTACACTGGTTTTTCTCACTTTACAGGTTAATTACAATTACATAGAACAATGAATGTTGTATCTAAAGTTATTTGATGTCTTGATTACTTGACAGTAATGTCAACATAATCGACATAAATGTTTATTCTAGGGCCTGGACTTTAACATGTTAATTATGAATAATTAATTAGAAAAAAAACGCGTTAAAAAATTAACGCATTTAATCGCAGCTTGCATTTCGAGAAAGGCGGAACCTTTGTCATTGCATGATTTCCTCGTAGACCGAATATCACTGACGCACACAACAATGCACAGCGCTAATAGCTACTAAAACGGAATAAAAACAGAAAGAAGTTGCCTTGCTTTGATTGATGCAGGATTTAGGAAACCCGTCTGCCTCTTTTCTTAACTTGGAAAAAACAAACTTCCAGACAACAACGGAGTCCGTGTCGCAGACATTTTTCAGATATCGTCTCTGCTGCAGCTGCCCGATGGCACCGGAAACATTACAAAAGTTGCGGCAAGCTATATTTTTAACATTTACGTAACATCTGTGCAGCGCTGAAAGTTCCAGACAGAATAAGTCTTTGCCCCAACAGTGGTTTATGAAAGTTGTCAGACAAACGAGAGGCTCCTGGCTGCCACTGGGAGAGCGCTCCGTGTTCTCACTGCTCTGTAAACAATCACAAGCAACGTGTCTTAAAGTTGAAAACAGAAGTTTTAGTTAAAACAGAAACACTCTAAAAATGCGATTAATTTAGATTAATTACAAAGCCTGTAATTAATTAGATTAATTTTTTTATCAAGTCACGGCCCTAGTTTATTCTTAAAATGCATTATTTCTGATCTTAAATACACCAAACTAGTCTACTTAATGATTTAATAATGATTTATCAGTTGTGTCACATTTTAATATCAGTATATTAACTAATGACTAGTATGTCATATTTACTTTGTAAGGTGGCCAAGGCCATGTAATGCATAGATTATTTTTCCACAGCCTGGTTCATCAGTTTGCCAAGGGTTAACTTTCTGCCCAAGACACAGGTTGTGTTGGCCTGACACCAAGAGGAGGCGATGATGAATATCTCCCAACTTTTCTGTTTCTTAATCACTTCAAGGTCCCTGTAGAAGTCTTTAACTGATGAAATGAAGACCATGGAGCCACTTGTTCATTTCCACAAGACTTCCGTCTGTCTGTCTTTATTCCTTCCCCGCCCCACATTCCTTTTTCTCTCACTATCAGTCCAATGGCACCCCCTATAGACACCATCCTAGCTTCACTTCACCTCCCCCTTTTAGCTTGAAAAACTCTTTACTTGTAAGATAATCTTGTACCCAACATAACAGTATCATTCTAACAGAAACCTGACTTATAGTCCAGTGTTTGCAACCAAGCATTTACAACTCTTTTGTATCAGCAATACAATCTAACATAAACACCTTGTTTTAGAAACATCACCCTTTTGTTTTTAAATGTAGGGGTCAACTAGAACGAGAATATTCACAAGTCCAATCTCTCTGGTGGGCGGGAAACCTTTCCCGACCTGGTCACAGTGGTACCCGGAAGTATCTGAGTCAGAGGAAGCAAACTGTGGGCCATTGTCCGTCACCAGGCATTCCGACACGCCGAATCTTGCAAAGATCACCTTCAGCCGCTCCACCGTTTAAGCTGTTGTGAGAGGTGGGAGGTTGGCTACTTCAATGTATCGGGAGAAGTAGTCCACAACCACAATATAATGGCTGTTTTTCCACTGAAAGATATTAGCCGCTACTTTTTGCCACGGGCGTAGTGGTAGAGGAGTAGTCATCAGTGGCTCGGTCCTTGTTTGTGAAAACTGGCAGCGGATTTCACACCTTTCCACCATGTCTTTCATCTGTCGTGTTATCCCCGGCCACCACAAGGGTTCTTGTGTGCGTGCAACACATTTAGTCACCCCCAGATGACCTTCATGCAACCTGTCCAACATTTCTGTCTGCATGCATGCTTGAATCAAAATCCTCTTGCCTTTGAGAAGCAGGCCCTCCGCCAGATGAATATCAGTCCTTTCAGGCTAAAACGGAAGAAGGTGCTCTGGGACGTTCCTCTTGTTGGAGGGCCAGCCCTTTTCCGTAAATGTTTTCAGCTGTTTACAAATGCTGTTGGAGCTCTGAATATCCATGATGTGGGCCAATTTACATTTTGTGGCAGGTAGTTGTCATAGGATGTGGTCAACATACATCCAACATTCCTGCTGCAAGCTGCTATTGGCTTCTCCGGTCCTTGAGGAGCTCTGGAAAGAGCATCTGCTGTGACAAGCTGTTTGCCAGGGACATGAATAATTTTGTAGTTGAACCTCAGCAGTCTGAGCCTGAATCTTAGGATTCTTGGTGGTAGGTTGTCTAAGGCCCAAGAACCTAACAGGGAGACCAGAGGTTTGTGGTCAGTTCTCACTGTGAACTCCAAACCGGGTATGAGCTGAGTCGTTCACAGACCCACGTTGCAGCAAGAGCCTCTTTTTCAATCTGGGCATATTGTACCTCTGTGGGTGTCAGGCTTCGTGATATATATATATAATAGGTCTCCACCTGTCGTCCACCTGCCGCTGTAAAATAACCGCTCTGAGTCCATATGAGGATGCGTCTGCTGACGCCATTGTTTCCTTTGTGGGACTATAATGTGCCAGCACTAGGGGAGAGCTCAGTTCCTCTTTTATCTTTTCAAACGCTGTCCTCTGTTGAGCGTCCCACGTCCATGTGCTGTCACTTTTTAGCAGGTCTCGCAGAGGTTTCGTGAGGGCTGGTAGGCTGGATGAAATCTTGCCGACATAATTCACCATCCCCAGGAAACGGCGGACCTCTTCCACATTTCGTGGTTCGGGCATGTTTTCAATGGCGCTGATTTTATCCGGATCTGCCTTGATTCCTGTTGTACTTATGTTGTGTCCTAGAAACGTCGCTCTCTCCACCTGTTACGAGCCAGGCTGTGTAGGGGGCCTGGGGTAACAAGTGAGGACGCATGTTCTCGTGTTAAAAGTAACAAAACAACATTTATTTACATAAATATAAACACAAAACACAGATTAACAAGACACATCAGCAGCAACGCAAAACGAGTAACAAGTAAACTCTCATATTAACCCAATTAATACTAAAACTACGTAAGACCATCACATAATTTCCCTTTTACTGAATGATGTCTTATTTAAAGCAAGCGAAGGGGTAAAGTTTCCTTTACACCTGAAAAGGCTGACGGTTAAACACAGAGAGTTTCCTAAGCACCCACCAAAGTTGTCACATAATACTTTAACTTAACAAAACCAAAAGCTGCTGAGGAGACAGCAGACCAGAGAGAACCTCTCTGGCCTGCTGCTCTCTGAACTGAGGGCTGGCTGGCTTTTATGCTGCTAGCAGAGCTGATCATCAGGATCAGCTGGGAGAGTCTAATTGGGAGGCAATTTAGTGAGATGGGAGACAGGTGCTGCATCTCCTCTCTCTCTCTCTCTCTCACACACACACACACACACACACACACACACACACACACACACACACACACAGGGAAAAAAAAACAAATGGGCCTGGGCCGTAACACCACCAAAAACTCACATTTTTCACTGAGAGTTAGACCAGCCTTCTCACATCTTTTAAGCACCTGCTGTAGCCATTCGTTGTGTTCCGCTGAGCCTTTGCCGAACACTAGAATATCATCATGGGAATCTTTGTGTAGAGACACCTGTGTAACATGATGGAGCTATTTCCACCAAGGTTATTTAACCTCTCTCCACAGATGCCTCTGACACAGTGCTCGAGTGCATGAGACAGCTTCAAGGTCATGCATTTGCATCTAAACTGTTTACTTTCCAGCAAAAGAAGAAACAAGATAAAGACTCTTCTTTTATTAAATCAAAGAACTCTATTTTCAATAAAGCTAATCAAAACAACTGTTAGTCAATAATACAATGTGACCAATCTGTGAAATCACAATGTTATGATTAATATGTTTTAATAAGTAAATGGCTTAATCTAGTTCACTAGACACACTGACACACGTAAGGTAAACAATCGCATGACACATTGCTGTTACTGATCCAATCAGATCCTTCCTAGTCTGAAGCGTGGCATAGTCTCTGTGGTGTTTATAAATCTGCCAGCTTTGATTCGACCAGAATTCAAAACATCCAGATTGATCAAACCAGTTCCAACGCCATCTTAGTTCAGTTCTCAAGATCTCACTGGAGTTCACCGCATGCTAAGCGAAGTAACTGGACCGGCCATCAGTACTTCCCTTTTTAAGCTGAGAACCACCAAGCTGGAAAACTCTGTTGCATTTTACCAACCAAGCAACCGTTCCTTTCAGAATAAAAGCTGAACTCACTGACCAAAGGAGGGTCCCCTTTTGACGCCGTGAACCACCTGTTGCTTTTTACCTGGAGACGATCCAAGGACTAGTTTGTCGTGCTGTGACGCTGTACCACTGGGTCCAGTACTGAAAGGAGGGTCCGTGGACCTGGCATTCTGGATCCGTGACGGAGGTCTCACTGAGGGTACGTGTGGATGCGACAAATATGGCGTCTCATGTGTTTATGCAACTACTCCGGTCAAACTCTGTTCATAGTTGGGCGCAAAACATCATCCCACTCAGACTTGCTTCTACGGAAACGAGAGTTCTGAATAACACTCATTCACACACACCATCCATCTCACACCTCATTCAAACAAATACATCCATCATTAGTAGTTAGTATTGTTTAAATTGTTTAAAATTATTTAGAGAGGTGTGCTTCAGGTGGCCGGTCTGAAGCTTCTCTAGAACTGCTGAATCACCCAGAGTGATCCAGTTTTAAGGATCTCATGTTATGATTTTCGTAGCCAACCAAAGGCTGACAAGTTGAGGAATGGTTACCAAGACAACCTCAGAAACACGCCTTCTTTGATACAGAGGCTCTGATATTTCTTTGTGTAACGGGAGATTTTATTTTCATTCACCATTGCAACTTGTACGCCTGTTTTTTTGTTATTTTATCCCATGTGTCAGGAGGGAGACCTGACTGGCGCCCAACGTCCATATTCATCTATTTAGTCAATAAAGCAAAACCTGAAAACCGTTACAAGGGTAAAGGTTATTTATGTGTCATGGGATTTAACTTTACCTTACTTTGTTTTTGTGTGAGTGCAAAATGGTTATGACCTCGCCAAGTAAACATGCTGAAACATATATCATTGAGCACAGATTAACAAAACATTTCATTATTTTATACTTATTAAATGTAGCAATAAACAAACATGTATTTAATGATTTAAAAATCTTTCTTTTTTCTTCTGTGAGCAAGGAGTCTTAGATAAGAGGGTGCACTGTGAGGGACCTTGAGAGAATGTTTGTTATGGTTTCACTATCTCTGTCAGAGCTGCAGGCTCTGAGCTCCAGCTGGTGGGATGGAGGCAGGCTGATTTAGAGGGGACACATGCAGTCTCGTGTCTCCTTTTTGACCAGATGTTGAATGGTCAAACAGCACCTAAAAACTGACCGTTGCTGGACGTTACAATATGTATCTTATTGTAATGTGTATGAGCGTAAACAATGATTAACATGTTAAATCAAACACATAGTGATTTGTGATATAAATGGATCGTTGTAAGAACATGATTCATTTCAAATTCATTGATTTAAGCCCAGGTTATTCAGATGTTTGATTTAAACATCTTGTTCATTCATCACATGTGATTATTTAACTTATGAGTTGGAAAATCATGAAGTCTAGTCTGTCGTAGGGTGAAGAATGTTGACGTCTGGCATTCACACAAAGAGTGTAGGACCTTGGGTGAGAACGTTTGAATGTTTTGTCTTCATGGAATGTCAACACGTGCTGAACAGAACCTTCTGGTTCTGGAAGGCCAAACAGAAAGTGTATTTATTTTTGTAGATGAAAGGTTATTATGTTGATCAATATATAAGTGAAAATTGACCCTTTTGGACGTTACATAATATTGGTATGTTAATATGGCAAGATGGGCGAGGAGCCAGGGATCCACACGCTCTAGCGCATCACTTGTCATGGTTCTGCACTTGTCTACCTGGTTCATCATGTTGTTTTGCTCCTCTGAGTCTGTTTGCAGGTGGGCGTGTCGGAGAGTCTCGGCTGTGGCTGATTTCCCCATCAGCAAGGCCAGGGGATTTAAGGAGTGGTGTGTCCACACCCCAGCGCCGGTTGATACTCTCACTTTGGGTAGCCTCTAGCCTCGTCCTGAATTCAGTATTGCTGAACACCCGTCCTACTCACTCTGTATTAATTTCCTGTCCTGCCTTTAGATCATCCACCGGATCTCAGCTTAAGCATCAGCTTCCCTGGAGTGTGTGTTCGTCATCGTCACTCATCTCCCCTGGCCGCCTGCTCTCCGCTGTCCACCTGCCCTGGATACCCATCAGCCAAACCTCACCTGCCTCATCCCTCTCTACCACTGACCAGAGCTGACCTACCCCCTCCTCACATCCATCCCCAGTTTCCTGCTCCATCAGATTTTTGTTTCCTCTGCTATTACCTGGTTCTCTAGTTCCTGGTTTCACCCGCCGTGTGTTTTTATATTTTAGATTCTGGTCCTTGTCTCGCTTCGTTCGAAGCTGCCCCCTAAGTTAATTTATTTTCCTTTAATAAACATTTTTTTTTTTTCCTTTTTTTTATTATTATTATTTCTTACCTTCTTGCTGTGTGTGATTCTTCATGTGGGTCAGGAGGCTTCCTACCACCATGACAGTTGTATATTTTCCGAGGTAAATTGAATGCACCATGACGTCCACACAGCATAGGTAAAGAGGGAGAGATGCCACACTGACTGCTACTGCCTATGGTGGCCACATTTGCAGGGTCTACTTTTGGTTAACAGCATGTTTTAGCTAAGGCTTTAGCTCCATGGAGATTTGGAGCTCGAACGGCTAGAGAACGCCATACATAAACCTGTTCAGGCACGCCATTCAGTCATCAGGCAAAATACAAGTGAGTTCTGTTCATGTTCAGAAAACCCCCGAAAGACTTCATGAACAATCGTTCAATGAGCACATTCAGGTACAACAGCGCTGATATGGCACACCTGTGAGGAAGGTTGGTGTTAGGCTCATCAACACAGATTTAGACAGATTTGTGAACGATGTTTGAAAATAATGGGTCTTGTGTATTCATTACATGTTTTAGATCTTTACGTTCAGCTCATGATAAATGGAAGAAAAAAACAAGTGTTTTGTTTATATTTTTGTTCAGTGTATATTCTTTATTACTGACACTGTAAACCCTAGCACACCAGTATATGAAGCTCAGACTGGACACCGGTTTCTGACTGAACCCTGACCATCTCTTAGACATAATGAGGAGGCAAAAACACAAAGATCAGGAGTGCTTGCTCCGGCTCCTCTGGTGAGTTGATGTGGTCATCTTTCCTGAGGGATCTTCACTGTTCAGTGATCCTACACACACACATACACACACCACTGTTTACATTGTCGAGAAGTTGTAAACACAAAATAAATTCATGATTTCAAATAAAAAAGTCATACACTTTTATTTAAAAGGGTCATATTGAATCTTTTTCTATTGTGTTCTTATCTGTTGCGTTTAGAGACTCAGACAGAGCGTTTCATTCCAGCTACCTGTTAATCTTCACCTTTAACCGCCTGCTTCACATTTTCTGTTTCACCCTGATTTTTAGATTAGTGGCACCAATATATGATATTCTGTTAGTTTTCTAGTTTTAGTCCTCAATGTTTTTGTAGTTCTCTGTACTTGTTTTTACTGCCTTAGTTTTAGTTACCTTACACTTAGAAATTCCTGGTTAGCCTTCTTACCCACCCCAATTATTGAATTTCTGTTAGTTTTCTAATTTATAGTCATCAATGCTTTATTGATGATATGTTGTTTTCTAGTTTTAGTGTTCAGTGTTTTATATGTAATTTATTGTTCATGTTTGTGTTTGTTTTGTCTGTTCTTACTGCTGTAAAGCACATTGAGATGCCTTTGTGTAGGAGATGTACTATAAAGCTGTCTTGTCTATAGTGTTGGTATTGTTAGATCTTTCTGCAGCTTTTGACACTAATGATCACTGCACCTTAAATAACAGACTGTGACTTTGTGGGGATCTCTGGAAGACTGGTTTAGATCGTACCTTTCTAACAATAGTTACAGTTTCTGTAGAAACCAAATCATGTCAGATTCTACCCATCTGTTCTGTGGGGTACCCCAAGGCTCTGTTTTGGGCTGAACGTCTGATCATTGGCCCTGAGGGCACGGTTCCCTTGATTAGTCAACAACTTGTTCATTTCACCTGAGGAAACTGTATTTTATTATTTTTTGAACAATCAATTTCTCTGGAAGACTACTCAAAAATGTTTGTCCAAAGCATATCTCATAACTGAGAAGGTTGGTGTCAAAACAACTTGAACTTGAAATGGTTCTCCATGTGTTTATCTCCTCCCGTCTAGATTACTGTAACACACTCTTCACATGTTTTAACAAAAAAGCCCTTGACCTCCTTCAGTTGGTCCAGAACTCTGCAGCCAGGCTCCTAACTGGAGCAAACAGAAGGGCACACATCACTCCTATTCTGGTGTCTCTGCACTGGTTACCCGTTAACTTTAGAGTTCATTTTAGAATCCTGACTAGAACTTTCAGGGCTCTACGTGGTCAAGCTCCTCCCCATATTACTGAAAGTCTTACAGGTTCTGGTCATAAAATTAGAATATCATGAACAGTTGATTTACTTCAGTAATTCCATTGAAAAAGTGAAACTAGTGTATTAGATTAATTCATTACACACAGACTGATATATTTCTCTAATTTTGATGATTATAACTGACAACTCTTCTTTTTGCATCTTGCAGTCGCTTTTGGTTTCTCCTCCCTGATCTCCCCAAGGCTCTTTGTTCTGTCTGCCTGTCTCCACAGCGTTCCTCTGCATTGCTTCTGAAAATCTAAAAATGATTAAAATATGAATCTGGTCATTTGGTCTTTTAATGTGATTGCCAGCAATGTGATTGGAGGAAGGGGCTCCTACATGTCTGGGTGAAACGCACCCAGTCGGGCATATTTTGGATTCCTGGAAGAAGTGGAATATAGTAAGTCTCTCCATTGAGGACACCGAATATGTACGGATTTTCACAGTTTTGATTTCCGGATTTCTGCTTTTTGGCGTGGGCAGTTATCCAGTATATTGGAAATTTAAGGATTTTTCCGGGGAGACTGGAGTGCTTCCTGAACTCAGGGATGCAGTTTACCATGCTGTGAACACACAGACAATTGCAGAGATGAATCGCAAGCTAGAGACTTTGGCTGCGATTCCAGCTTTGACTCAAAAAGTGGATATCATCATGGAGAGAGTGGTCCCAACATGGCATAGAATAGTTCAAACACCATTATTCAGCTTTTTGGAGCAGTTGAGACCAACAGAACAGTAAGGCAGGGAGGAAATTTACCTCGGACTGTCCCAAAACAATCAATCTTAGAATCTGGTGCCCTTGAGTCTTCAGTCTGAGGCTGAAGAGTAAATTCCCCACAGAGGCAATGTGGTCAGATGCTATGAAACCCTGTCCTCCCCCTAGCCTGGTTGGAACTGTGACCTGGTGAGGGTCATGGAACCGTCTGGGAGTCAATGCATCCTCCACCCTTTAACTCCCTCCCATCTCTGAACGGAAGTGATGAACGTACTGATGCTGCGGCTCTCTCTGAAGTGAGGAGTTTCCCAGCCCCTCCCCCTCACCTCGCGGAGACTCGTGTGTGAAATGTCTGAGGTTTTGTTCTGATTACCAGGGGCGTCGGACTGAAGCGGGGGGTACTGTTCTCTCAGGGCCCGCTGCAGGGAGGGGTCCTGAGACAGCCTTAAGACAGGTTTTCTTTTCCCCAACTTACTTAATGTCTTAATAAACTTCCCTTTGCCTGGGTGAAGAGGTTAATTTTGCCTGAAAATAATAAATGCACATTTTTAGGGGGTTTAGATCCTCAGAGATAATTCAAAGTGGTTTAGTCCACACCTGGCCCGGGGCTGCACCCTGCATGTACAGCTAATGAGACATTGATATCACCGACAGCCAGAGCTGGAGGCAGGAGGAAGTCATGTCTTCCCCAAGAAAGGGAAATCTGGCTTCCAGAAAAAACAGAGAAGGAGAAAAATTTAACTGAACAGAAGCGAGTATCGAGCAGGTTGTATGGAAAGGTGTGCAGCAGCACTACAGAATTTAATTCAAGTTTATTTATATATATATTTATTTATATTGCGCCAAATCACGACAAGTGTTGTTTCAAGGCACTTCACACAATAAACATTCCAATACAGGTCAGGTCATTAAGCCAATCAGTAAAAAGTTTCCTATATAAGGAACCCAGCAGGTTGCATCGAGTCACTGACTAGTGTCAGTGACTTTACAGCAATCCTCATACATAAGGACACAGTTTGAGCTGATATTAGCTCACTGAGCTGCACTCATGTTCAGTGATTAATGCCTTTAGTTTCACCATCAAGATCAATTATAAATTCATTAGTATTATTAGAATTATTACCGCGGACCTCACAGTAGGAACAGGTTTGCTCTGTGTGGAAATTCCAGCTACTTCCCAGTCATGGATCAGGACAAATCTAGTTTTGATGGATTACTTGTAATGTCAGGAATGTGAAGCTGCCAGTGTCATTATGTTGTACGAAAAACTGAATGCAACAGACCCAGAAAGCTGCATCGTTAATCCCAGATTATCTACTATAACTCTGCTAAATTAAAATTGCCCAAATGACACAGTGGAGGTAACTGACTTTAAGGCCATAAACTGTGGACCATTGTGAAAGTTGGAAAAAGGTAAAGCCTACAACAAAACATGGTGGAGATGCATTTATTTACTATGCTGCTCACGGAATCAGCTTCCCCATGACCTCAGATGTGCCCCAACCCTAATGTACTCATCAGCCTTTACATCACATATGTCAGAGTCAAGGCCTGCGGGCCAGATGCGGCCCGCGGAGCATTTTTATGTGACCCGCGAGATAAATATCAAAAATATATTAAAACTGGCCCGCTGGCCGATTTTACCGCAAAGACTTCAACTCCCATGATGCTTTGCGGCGTCAGCGCGGAGCCGACGAAGCCCCCTCCTTTGTGTTTTTTCAGCGCCTGCTGCCGGTGTCTGCAGCTCCACTGTCTCAGACAAACTACACTCCTCTCACTCAGCGCCGAGTTCACTCAGCTATTTTCTGACGTTGAAGCCCAGAAATGGAGATTCTAGCTGCTCAGTAATGTGTTCACGACTGAAAGAGAAAGTTTTCAAACAAACTTCCAGACAGAGCTGATATAACTCCAGCGAACAGCGACACGCTCAAGTCAGCACGACTCTGTTGTTGTGTTTCCTCCCCGACACACAACAACGTGGTCAAGCTGCTCAGACATGTTCATCAGCACAAACCTGTGTGAGCACCTGTTGTCATCTAATGTTGTCATTATTATGATGAAGATGAACAAAACAACAGGAGTCTCCTCCTCAGCTGAGATCAACCCCATGATGCAGGTATCTGGCTGGAACAGGTGAGCATCACAGTAAACCAGTGGAGCAAACTGAGCTTTAAATATGTTGGTTTTATGCTCTTTTTCTGCTCCAAGACATGAAAGTTAACAGGTGAGATGTTGCATTTTCATTTAAGATAAAATGATATTTTTATTTTGTTGTTGGCCCGTGAGAAAAGATTTAACCTACAGTAAACAGGAAGTGGAAAGGCTGCAGATAGATGAATAGAATAGAAAATCCCTTTATTGTTCCTCAGTGGGGAAAGCTAGACGTCACAGCAGCGATGACACGTATTACAGGAGAAAAAAAGGAGAATAAAAATAAGAAAAATGAATAAACAAGAAAACATAAATCCTGAATAGATTTATAAAATGCTGATTATACCACAAGTAATGAATACCACTGATGTGTTTTATTTGTAACTGACTTGCTCGTGTGTAATTTGGTTATTCCACATTCAGTGTTAATGCAGAAATAAGTTTGTTTCCTAATTTAAAGGTTCAAAATTGCATTTATGTTGATAAAGAAAATGTGCAAATTTACCGTCACTTTTTCAAAAAATATTACGTTTGGCCCTCGACTCCGTCCCAGAGTTTCATTTCGGCCCCGTGTGAGTTTGAGTTTGACACCCCTGCTTTACATGAAAAGCTTCTTATGCTGCATCGTCTCCCCTGTAATCTGTGATGGAACTTTGTCTTCTCCTTTAGCTCTAAACTGTAATTCTATCTGTGTGTGTTTTAATCTGTGTTTTTATGTTGTTTCCATTTCATCTCCTGATAATTGTAAAACACAACAAATTGCCTCTGTGTTTGAAATGTGCTCTAGAAATAAAGCTGCCTTGCCTAAATATTACATGAGTTCCTGTTGCAATGTATGGTGAGCCAAAAGTGACAAAATTCAATCAATAACTAAAGCTACAAATATTCATTTTTAAATGTATCATTAAATATTTAATTACACGACCCATGAGTAAAAATATTCGTTTAAATTATATATTTACTTCATGATTTATTTCAAGATTTGTTCATCATGATTTTGTTACATCTAACAACCTTGCCCATCACAATCATTGAGGCAAGGCAAGGCAGCTTTATTTATATAGCACCTTACAAGCGCTTCACAGACTTTTAAAATAACACAACATAAAAATACATAAAAACTAAAGCTTAAGAACTAACACTGATAAAACACTAAAAAACACTCAAAAGACTCTCATGCGGAGTTAAAAGTCAAATCCTAAAAATAGGTTTTCAAATGAGATTTAAAACCAGACAGTGAAGAGGCCTACCTAATGCTCAATGGCTATCCAGAGCCTGGGGGCCGCTACAGAGAAAGCCCTGTCACCTCTGAGCTTGCGTCTTGTTTTTGTGACTTCCAGGAGCATCCTATCAGCTGACCCCAGACACCGTGCAGGGGAATAAAAACCTGTAGCTTAGCTGGAGCAAGGCCATGCAGAGATGTCAAAGCCCATAAAGCACCTTGTACTGGATTCTAACACAAACATGCTGCCAGTGCAGTGAGGCCAGGACAGGAGTAACTTGCTCAGTCTTTTTCATCCCACTGAGCAGCCGTGCAGCAGCATTATGCACCAACTGAGCAAGAGGTGGGATTGTGAAACACCGAGGTACAAAGAATTACTGTAATCGAGCCTTGATGTAATAAAAGCATGAATTGCTGTTTCAAAATCAGGCTCAGATTTACAATGAACATGGCAGCTTTATATTTTATTTATTTATCGACTAATATTTTATGAGGATAAAACCACTAGAGATTAAACATCTCGTTTTCCAGTGGGTCCTCCATGTTAGAGGGTTTTTATTGACTTTGTTAGAGATATTTTAAGCCTAAAAAATATTTGCTGACTCAGAATCAGTGGTAAAGCAGTACAAGAGGAATGTCCTCACTGAAAGAGATACTGACTACAGAATATCTGTAGAAGTACTCCTACATGTACTTCGTCAATATGGGGCGTATTGTACAAATGTGTTGCCCACTGGACATAAAAAATCTTTTTTGTTCTTTTTTCTGTAATTCAAGGTTTAGTGTTTTAAGAAATTTGCTAAAAAGAAGATGTTGTTTTTAACTTGCCCACTGCCAGCCGTTTCCTGATCAGAAAAGCCCTGCACTGCCAGCGCCTTTCAGCGTTTTCAATGTTTTTTTAAGAATCACAGAACGGGTTGCATGCTAGGATGATGTCAACGCCAAAACTAACAAAACAGTGGACTCCATTCTATTCATTTCAATTCAGTTTATTTCTACAGCGCCAAATCACGACAAGAGTCGTCTCAAGGACCTTCGCACAGTAAACATTCCAATCCAGGTCAGTTCATTAAGCCAATCAGTAAAAAGTTTCCTATATAAGGATTTAAGTCAGTTATAATAATCCACATTAAAGAAATAAAAAGAAATATATCAGTTTGTGTGTAATGAATGAATCTAATATACAAGTTTTACTTTTGGAATGGAAATACTGAAATAAATAAACGTTTTCATGATATTCTCCTTTTATGACCAGTACCTGTATGCTCCAATGTGAGCTCTCAGGTACTCAAACCAGAACCTTCTAGAAGTTCCAAAGACCAGATATAAATGATCTCTCCTTCCAAGCTGTTGTACCCCAACTTTGGGATGAACTTCCTTTAGTCTTATGTAGTATTGAGACAGTCTGGTCACCTTTGAACAGCTGCTGAAGACCCTTTTATTTAAAACTGCTTCTAAGTATTTTGTGTTTTCTGATTTTAATTATATTTCATTGGTTTCTGTTTTGTATTCATGCTCATTTTATGACTTTATGATTTGTTTTGTTGATCTATGAAAGTCAAAAGTCCCATTAGTTGTCACACACACTAGTATGTGCGAAATTTGTTCTCCGCATTTGACCCATCCCCTGGGGGAGAGGTGAGCTGCAGGCACAGCTCGGGAACCATTTGGTGGTTTAGTTTGTGTAGCACCAGGTGATTTTTCTTTCTGTTGTGAGTATAATATTAATAAACCTTACTTACTTTTACTTGCTAAATAGACAGACAGACAGACAGACAGACAGACCGACCTTTGGTCTTTGCTGATTTCTTCAGCAATGAGATCTCAGGATCATCTGGTTGAACATCATCTGATTTCTTATAGTAGTACGGCTGATCTGGTGGTCCAAACCTCTACAGGTAAACATCCCAGGTACATTAATGAAGCTGAACTAGTTGTCAGGAAAACACACATAAATGAGAATAAAGTACCTTGTCAGGCCACATGAAGCTGATGAAGAGAATCATGGGAAGTCCCACAGCAAACACATAAACACCCATGAGCCAGGGCCGCTGGTGAATGGACAACCAGATGCTTTCTAGGAAACCAAGCTTGAGGTAAGACAAAGATGGCTTTAGATGTTTACGGTAAGGATGATCAGAAGTAAGTAAATGATATGTTTATAACAGATAAACTCTTACGTGATCTGCAGCAGACACCGGAGCTACCAGCATCAGGTTCAGCATCAGAACACTGTTCTCCATCTCTAAAAGGCAATTCGAAACTAATTTTACAAATCATAAGCCTGCACAAGCTCAAGCGACAAAATGAAAATGCATGTACTGATTGGTCTGTCTTACCCCAGTACATAGACTGATCCAACAGGGAAAAAGTTAAAAAAAACAGTAGAAACAAAAACACAATTCTCTTAAAAGGGAAATTAAACAAGACGAGATGAAAACAAACACGCAGCTAAAAGTTCAAACAGCAGGGAAGAGTACGGAAAGTTAACGATTTTACCTTTTTATCACAGGTTACTGCTTCCTGCTGTCTTCCTGATATCTGGTAGAGGTGGTGGACTTTGGTTCCTGAATCACCTGATCACATGACTAGTTATATAGTTACCATATCATATACATACACACACACACACACACGCACGCACGCGCGCACACACACACACACACACCTTCTGTTGCAACTGGTGCCTTTTTGCCTTGGGAGCTGGGACCTTAGAGCTCTCTCTGGCGTCATCTCCTGCCCTCAAGGAGGAATGGACTGGACCTTGAGCTCTCCCGAATTGGGCTTTCTACTCCTCCCCCTCCCTTGGACCTGCACAGCTGTGTCTGTCAAAATGGCTTTGCATTGGTTGGGTGTTAAGGGTTGCGAGGTGTGTTTTGTCTGGGTTCCCGTGCATGTGGGGGTGGAGGGTAATGAACGGGCGGATGCTGAGGCTAAAGGCGCACTGGGGAGGCAGGTTGTGGATTTGGAGGTGGAGTTGGGGCATCCGGAGTGTCGATCTGCAGTTGGTCTTGAGGCTATGAGGTTACCAGCTCAGTGACCTAGTGGTAGAGTGTCCGCCCTGAGACTGTGAGATCAGGGTTCGATTCCTGGTCGGGTCATACCAAAGACTTTGAAAAAATGGGACCCAATGCCTCCCTGCTTGACACTCAGCATTAAGGGGTTGGATTGGGGGTTAAACCACCAAATGGTTCCCAAGCGCGGCTGTGTCTGCAGCTCACCGCTCCCCCAGGGGATGGATCAAATGCGGAGAACAAATTTCGCACACACATCAGTGTGTGTGACAACTAGTGGGTCTTTAACTTTGACTTTGTGGCAGGCTTCCTGGGATGAGGGGAGCACTGGACAGTCCTATTTTGCTTTGCAGAGATGGGTGGGTGGTCGTGGGCGGGATATTTTCCATAGGAGACGAGACTCTGTGGTCATGACCTGGCTACGTCTAGGACATTGCTGTTGGGGGGTTCTGATTGGTAGGCACTCGACTAGTAGGTGTGAGTGTGTGAAGAGTTTGCAGACCACTTCAGAGGGAAGGTACACACAATCAGATGCAACATTTTATCCTCTCACAGTGACATGGTTTTATCGAAATCTGAGTGTGTACCCTGACCAGAGGAAACACTGGACAGTTTTGTCCTGGTTGAGGCTGAAGCTCTAGATAACGTTTTCTCCTCAGTAAGGCCCACCACATGTCTTTTAGATCCAGTTACTACTTCATTTTTAAGCCATTTTATGAATATTTTAGAGATGAGATTTTAACCATGATGAACTGTTCTCTTCAAACAGGGGTCTTTCCTGCTGCCTTTGAAGGGGTGGTGGTGAGGCCCCTGCTGAAGAAGAGAAACTTAGATTTTAGTGATTTTTAACAACTTCAGACCAATATCTAACTTACCATTCTTAAGTAAAAGTTTAGAAAAGCTTGTTTTAATCCAGCTTAATGATTTTATTATTGCTCATAATGTCCTAGAGAAATTTCAGTCTGGTTTTATAGTAAACCTCAGCACTGAAACGGCCCTTTTAAGAGTTTTAAATGACATAAGAATAAATTATGATGCACAGAAAGTGACGGTTCTGGTTCTACTGGATTTAAGTGCTGCCTTTGACACAGTGGACCACAACATTCTTTAAACCGGTTAAAACACATCGGCCTCTCTGGTGCTGTGCACACAAAATGCTAGTATCTGCCATTCACTGTTTATGCTAAGCTAAAGCAGACATACTGCTGCCAGATAAGGAGAATTTCTGTGCTGGTTACTAAATGCTTTTTCTCACTTATCTAACTGAGGGAAAATGGAAATAGACCAAATTTCACTTAGGGGTGGAATATCCCTTTAAAAGCAGGATAATTTCTCCAAAATACAGTACATTCAGAAAGTATTCAGAGAACATCACTTTTCTCACATTTTGTTATATTACAGCCTTATACCAAAATAGACTAACCCCCAAATTCCACTACCTCCGCTCCGCTCCGCCCCCGCCTTCCGCAGCCGCTCGCTTCCGAACTCAATTTTTACTGGTACCCGCTCTACAACGGCTCCGCTCCGGTGCGGAGACCTGAGGGGGGCAAACAAGCATGCGTGGGATTTTCGAGATCTTGCGATACAGTCCGAGCAATAAACGCGGAAGTTAGATCCAAACACCCGTTGTGTGGGAGAAGCATCGGCATGAACTGTTTAATCTGCCATCATTTGTGTTGAGAGATCAGCAGTGTTTGGATCAACAAAGTGTGACTACTTTGATAGAAACTGTATTTATGGCTTACTTTTGTGCATTTAAACTTCAGCCGCCATTGATAGTTGTTAAAAGTTGTTAAATCTGTGCATATGAAACAAAACACGCCTTTTGTTTATCGATTTATTGTGAAAAACGGAAGTTGTGCTTGCTCCTTTTCCTGTTGGGCGTTTGTGATTTCTGTCCATTTACTGCGGAGGTGCTCCGGCGAAAATAGGATCGATTTTATTTTTGCCGGACGCCGGAAAAGAGGGCGGCGCACCGCACGGCGCCGCACTGCCGGAGCACGGCCGCAGTAGTGGAACAGCTCTGATTGACTACAACGGGACCGATTTTGCTCCGGTGTTCGTGTCGGAGCGGAGCGGAGATAGTGGAATTTGGGGGTAACCCCAAAATTCCACTATCTCCGCTCCGCTGCACTCCGCTCCGGCACGAACGCCGCAGCAAAAACGGTCCCATTGTAGTCAATCAGAGCTGTTTCACTACTGCGGCCGTGCGGCGCAGTGCGCCACACGCCGTTCCGCCATCCGGCAAAAATAGGATCGATCCTATTTTTGCCGGACGCCGGAGCACCTCCGCAGCATGCTCCGCAGTCAATGGACAGAAATCACAAACGCCCAACAGGAAAGGGAGCAAGCACAACTTCCATTTTTCACAATAAATCGATAAACAAAAAGCGTTTTTTGTTTCAAATGCACAGGTTTAACAACTTTTAACAACTATCAATGGCGGCTGAACATTAAATGCACAAAATTAAGCCATAAATACAGTTTCCACTATCAATGTAGTCACCCTGTGTTGATCCAAACACTGCTGATCTCTCAACACAAATGATGGGCAGATTAAACAGTTCATGCCGATGCTTCTCCCACACAACGGGTGTTTGGATCTAACTTCCGCGTTTATTGCTCGGACTGTATCGCAAGATCTCGAAAATCCCGCGCATGCTTGTTTGCCCACCTCAGGTCTCCACACCGGAGCGGAGCCGTTGTAGATCGGGTACCAGCAAAAATTGAGTTCGGAAGCAAGCGGCAGCGGGGGGCGGGGCGGGGCGGAGCGGAGCGGAGATAGTGGAATTTTGGGGTAAATTCCACACACAACACCCATAGTGACGATTTGGATATATTTTTATTTATTAAAAATAAAGATCACTGAGAAATAACGTGTACATTAATATTCACAACCTTTGCCATCATGTTTTGCCATGTTTTATGCTGTTCTATCTTTTATTGTTGTGTATTTTATCTCTGTCTGTAAAGTGTCCTTGAGTGTTTAGAAAGGCGCTGTTGAAATAAAATGTATTATTATTATTATTATTATTATTATTATCATTATTATTATTATTATTATTATTATTACTTTTGGTTTTACTAACGGACATTAGGGAGTGCTAAAACAAGCCTAAACTGCCAAGTGTTCCTTTAACGGGAGTCATCCTGTGGTAAATTCAGTTGATTGGACATGACCTACGTATATAAGATCCTTGACAGTACATATCAGAGCATAAAACAAAACTCAAAAGAAATTGTCTGTAGAAGAACCATCAACAAATTATTGAGCAAAGGCTGTGAATACTTGTGTAAATTTGATTTCTAAGTTATTTTTATTCATAATAAGTTTTCAAAAAACTAACAAATAACCTTTTGTTGCCATTATAGTATGATTTTTATTGAATTTTTTGGGAAAAAATTTAATCCATTTTGAAAAAAGGCTGGAACAAAGCTAAATGTGGAGAAAGTTTTGTAGTGTGAGCAATTTCATGCTGTACTGCTTAAGAACTCCTTTATTGTTACAAGCACTTGCTGCTTTGAGAGTGACCCACTGTAGTCTGCAAGTTTTTCTCATATTGGACGTATTTTTCTTTTTCAGGCATTTCATTGGGATTAACCCAGAGAGAGGCACAAAATCCTACCAAGGAAAGGTGGTGTCCAAAAAGACAGGGAAGGCCATCCAAAAGAAACTGCAGACAGTGAATGCGCACGTTTCTACCCTGATAAAAAATCTTATGGATTTTGAGTGGAACTTCATGCAGGTTAGTCATTGTTGTTTATTTTATGTTTCTAAAAGACTCATATTCTAATAATATTTTTCTTATTTTTTTCCCTTCTGGCTTCCTCATCCACACCCAAAAAGTAAGTGGCACTCCTGTTAACAAAGTCATTGTTGACTATTTATAATCCTGTTCAGGATAATAAAGCATGTTTTTCTGTAGCCATATTAAAATGTTATGGTTGGGTACTTATCATTTACCCAGTGATTCAGCAAAGCATTTGTATTAGGTTATTTTCTTTAGAGTTTTAATTTTTTTGGATCTTAGAATTGTTAAAACTGATAATGTAAAAGACTGCAATCTGCATTTTTTTCTTCTTTTTATTGAATCGTAATTGCAGCCATGGACATTTTATTTGTTATGCGGCCAATTTTTTAACTATTCCCTGTGCCATGGAAATGCGTGTTTCTAATTTAATTTGTAAGAACAAAACTGCGTATGGTTTACTGTTGCATATTGGTTTTTAAATAAACATTCAGACCTATGTTCTTCATGTCATCCTCTTTTTATTTTATGTTTGATAGAGCTTACACGTTTTGAAAACTGCACCAATAACTTTTTTGTGGGTCATTTCATTTTGTGTTACACCCTGTGCCAGAAAACATTTTTACTATTTTAGTGGTTTTATAGTTGCACTGTATTTTCGCAGATCTTTACTCATAAAGTAAATTCAGTAATGAAACTCATTACAGTAACATTCTGACAGCAACAGACGCCAGTATGTAACTATAAATTGATATGTTCACTACAAAAATTACTTTAACGGTAAAATACTTTAAAACTGTTACAGCATTGAAAATGTAAATTAACAGTAGAATGCAGGCAGCTACAGACGCCAGCATTTTACTGTTATTCTACAGCAACTGTACAGTAAATTACTCACACAGTAACTTACTGTTAAAGTGAATACAGAACGGGTACTGTAAAAAAAAAAAAGTAGAATACTGGCAGCTACAGACGCCAGCATTTTACTGTTTTTTTACAGTACCTGTACTGTATTCACTTTAACAGTAAGTTACTGTAAAATAACGGTAAAAATGCTGGCGTCTGTAGCTGCCAGTATTCTACTGTTTTTTTACATACATTTTTTCTTAGAGTGTAACACAACATGCCACCCAGCTCCTGGTGCAATCTACTGTCATCTCCCACCTCGATTACTGCAATGCCCTTCTAACTGGTCTTCCAGGCTGTACTGTGAGACCTCTTCAAATGGTCCAGAATGCAGCGGCGCGTCTGGTCTTCAATCAGCCAAAAAGAGCACACGTCACCCCTCTGTTCATTGAGCTCCACTGGCTACCGCTAGCAGCACGCATCATATTCAAATTGCTAACACTAGCATACAAAGTCCGAGATGGTACGGCTCCCATCTACCTGAATCCTCTTGCAAAGGCTTACGTCTCGGCCCGGCCGCTCCGGTCATCACAGGGGTGTCGGCTAGCGGTGCCTACACCACGCTCAGGACAATCCAGACTCTTCTCATGCTTCGTTCCACAAATGTGGAATGACCTTCCAAGCACTACCAGAACTGCGGCTTCCTTTTCAATTTTCAAGAAACTCCTGAAGACCCTGCTCTTCAGAGAGCATCTTCTAAACTAGCACCCTCCCTGCACCCGTCCCCCCTCTCTACTGTCCACTCCTTGTTCCCTCCTCTCCATTATTGATGTCAAGTTGTTGTTATTGTTGTTGTTAGCCTCAAGGGCAACATGACAATCATCACTTGTAAGTCGCTTTGGACAAAAGCGTCTGCTAAATACATAAACAAAAACATAAACAATGATCCATTTCAGATCTTATGATCAGTATGTGTTGATTTAACAAGTTAATCATTATCTACACTCATACACATTACAATAAGATACTCATTAAGGTTAATATTCACTTCACATAAGTGTTAAACACCTTTGTATCTGAAGAAGGCGTGTCTTCTGAGGAATGTTTTGGTAAGCCCTCAAGACATGGCATATTCTGATTTGCCAGAATGCACAAGGATTCATAAGCAATGAGTTTATTAAAACAAGAATTACTTACCGATCAATGCAGTTTCTAGCTGACTCTCGAACCAGCCAATTCAGAAACGAGCATTTTTGAAACCATCTCCTTTGACCTCCAGTCAAAGCCTCTCTGCAACGCTGCAGCTGATATCAGACAAACGGCTCTTCTAAGAGCCAAACAAGCAGCCTGAGACGCAAACAAGCATTCCAGCTTCCTGCCTTCACCTGGAGGGATCTCAGACTAAACGAGTCCTATCGGAGCCATCTACGGGTTCCTGATATCAGAGGTTCACTCCACCGGCAGTGACCATCTCGATCCCCTGGATCGAACAAGAATCTCCACACAAAGGGTGCATAGACTTGGCACAGATTGCGTCGGATTGTTTTTAAATAAACAACTCTCTTGTTATAAACAAACTCTTTTAAACCCCAGACTTCACAACTTTCTCAGATACAAAGAATGGTTTTGCTACAACATCTAGCTTGCATTACAATATTTCACACATCACATTAAATCACTCCATATCCATTACATCATCTTATTATTCATATCTTGTCATGTATAATACTTAGTTTAGGAAAAAGAATGAAATTCATTTTATAAACTATATACTGACTCTGTCTGAATTAATACGAAGTGTGTTTATGGTCCCTGAAGAAGCAAAGAGCCCTAGAATCTTCTGATTAAACATTCAAAGATCACTCAGGTTGATATTTCATATTTGAATGGATTCATCACATCTTATTGGTCATAATTAATTTGTTGTTTCACTACGGGTAACTAATCAGCTGACACTGCTTGTCATATTAGCACTATTTGCCTTATATACACACCTCCACACTAGCAGACTCCAGTGATTAAATTTTTGACGTGTCGTGAGATTTTTGCTGATTTTGCAAAACTCTACACCAAACAAGAAGATGACTCTGCCTTCACAAGGAGTATAAAGTAAAACATTTGGAAAGATCTTTTAAATCGTTACCAGTTATAATTGTTTATTTATCAATAATAAACTGACAGTTTTAATGCAGGAGAATGTTTTGTTCTACTGAATTACTTGGGAATTGATGAGGGATTGGAATGACAGACAGAATCGACAATGATATTGACATTGATAAAAATGTATAAATTCCCACTAATTCATTCCACTGTAAGATCTTGTTGCGTCCAGCTTCGTTGTCTAACTTGAGTAAAGCCCATTCTTAAGAGACCGCATGTAGAATCTGTTATTCACGCATTCATCACTTATAATAATAATAATAATACATTTTATTTCAAGCGCCTTTCAAAGCTCTCAAGGTCACTGTACAGGACAAAATATGGCAAGCAAGCAATACAAACAACAAGAAATAAATGCTAAAAGTAATTCCCAAAGGTAGAGTCGGAGCAGTGCGATGGATAATAGACTAAAACGAGTAGATGGAAGGAGGACAGTTACAGTGAGTAAGCCAGGCGGAACATGTGAGTTATGAGTTGAGACTTGAAGGTTTCTATTGCGGAGGTCAGGCGGTAGAGTGTTCCAGAGTTTTGGAGCTGAGTGGCTGAAAGCTCTGGCTCCCATAGTACTGAGACAAGTGCGAGGAACAGACAGGGAAGGTGAAGATGATGATCGGAGAGAGCGAGTGGGAGTGACAGTGTGGAGGAGATTAGAAAGATAAGGTGGAGCAAGATTATGGATGGCTTTAAAGGCATGAAGAAGTATCTTATAGTCCATTCTGTATTTGACATGGAGCCAGTGAAGTTGTTGAAGGACGGGGTGATGTGATCAAAAATGGAGGTCTTAGTGATTATCCGGGCAGCTGAATTTTGGACTAACTGTAGCTTGTTGAGTGATTTTAGAGGGAGACCGGAGAGGAAGGCATTACAGTAATTGATGCGACTGGTGACCAGGCTGTGGACCAAAATAGCAGTGGAGTGCTGACTGAGGGAGGGGCGGAGCCGATTGATATTGCGAAGATGAAAATAAGCAGTTTTTATTATGTTGTTAATATGAGGAATGAAGGATAAGGTGTTGTCTAAGATGACACCCAAGCTCTTAGCTTTGGCGGTGGGTAGAAGTGTGGTGTTGTCGAAGCCGAGTGAGAATGAACTGGTCTTGGATAGAGATGACTTGGTGCCAGTGAGGAGGACTGGACTATGCTAACTCGGTTCTCATTGGTGTGAATGTACCCACTCTCAACTGTTTACAGAAAGTCCAGAAAGCTGCAGCAAGATTGCCCCCAAACTGTAGAACACACAGAATTTAGTCCTGAAAGATGGAAGTTTTGACCAATAGACATAAGTTGATAATAACAATAAACTCAGACAGACCATATTTGAAAGTCACTGACAGTAATTAAAAACAATTATTTAGAGTCTGATATTGATTTCACTTTGTACATTATCACAGCCAGAAATGCTGCCATCGGCGTCAGACAGGAACCCGCTGCCGGTCACTCTCACGGTGACATTTTGTTCCAGGGCTGTGAGTCGTTGTTTCAGTCGAAGCTGCGATGAGTTGAACTCACTTTGCAGACGAGCTAAACACGTCTAACAATAAAAATAAAACAGTTGTTATCAAGTCTCCAGGGCAAATTCATCATTTTTATTGATGATTAAATAAATCTTGATGGAAATATCATCAAAAGCAGGAGACTGAGAAGAACTAACCTTTAGCCGATCTAGGCTAGTTTCCAACTTCTCCATCTTCTCTCCAAGCTCTTCTCCTGCGGATATGTTCATTTCTTCCAGAAGCCCCTCCTTCTGCAGGATGTCCCTCCCCCTCTGCTCTAGTTGGGCCCTGGCATGGGGAAACTCTTGAAGTGCCTCCATCAGGTCCAGTTTTGACAGGCAGAACAAGTCGGAGTATCCTAGGCTTCGAATATTAGCTGTACGTCGGTTTCCCATCTTGCTGCCACTGATGTTCAGGATGCTAATTTCCCCAAAGCAGCTTCCTGCAGTCAGAACGGCCAACTGGGTGAGTCCATCATCCCCCACCACTGCCAGGTGGCCTTCTTTAATTATGTACATATCCTTACCAACATCCCCCTAGGAAAATGCAGAGAGAATGCAGTAAATTAAGTCTGCCCTTAAAACACACTTCTTCAGCTTTGCCCTCTCTCCGTGACACCGTGAAACTCTAGTACCGGTTTTACTTTCCTTAATTTAGCTTTTATGATTCAGTAGCTCACTTTTTTACACCTGGCACTATCTTGTAGCTTTTATGGTTTTATTTGTGCCATCTCAAATATTTTTTATCGTTTGCTGCATTATTTTTTATTTTGGATAGTTATTCTGTTAGTTTTTAGTGGCAGTTCTTATTCTTGATTATTTAGGCTATGCCTTCATGTACTTTATCTGATTTCCATATTTTCACTTTGTTTTTGCTGATATGTTTGACCATTTTGCCCTTCTATTTACTGCACTTTGGTCAGCGGCCATGCTATTCATAAATGGTGCTTTATAAATAAATTGGTATGGTATGGTATTGTAAATGCTGTAACTGGCTATTTTATTGCTACAGGAAGATATGCTACAAAAACATTTGCAACTGTGGAGTCTCATCAACGTGGTCAGTGGAGTCAAGCCCCACATGATGTTTGGGTTATAATACATTTAGTAATGCATAATCAGAGGTGGGACCAAGTCATTGCTTTGCAAGTCTCAATTAAGTCTTACATTTTTTTACTCAAGTCTTAAGTCTTTACTCCTGTAGATTTCCAGGACATTGGCCTCATTCAGAAACACATGAAACCAACTTCATGCCCTTCTGATTTAATTCCTACTATCTTGCTCATCAGGATGTTTGACCAAATTTGGCCCTGCATTGTAGATTGTATTAAATTACCCCTACAGTCTGGCTCTGTACCATCTGTTTTCAAACATGCAGTTATTGAACCTATCCTTAAAAAAAACTAGTTTTGAGCTGCCGGAAGTTTCAGTCAACTTCCGGTTTTTGAATATTCGGCGCGGTAAATACGCAGCGGTTCATGTGTCTGTATCTCCGCATCGGCTGGTCGGAAAACATCGTGGGTGGTGTTGCTGGATTGGGCGTGGCCACAAATGGGGGGGAAGGCAAAGTTTCAAAGCTGATCACGCCATTCAAATTGATGCAAAAGCTCCTGGGTGAAACAGGAAGTGGCAAACCTTGTGTGAGCGAAACTGAGGGGTCATTCTCACTCCGACTTGAACAGAGACCAAACCAGTGCGCTCGCCTCTCGGTCTATCGCTTTGGCACACTTTGGTTATCGAGATGGAGTTCAGCAGAGTTGCAGAAATCAACACATCAGCTCTTTTTCTTGCAGCGGATTGAAACCCTGAGGCTTTTCTGAGACAGGAGGATCTGTTCATACCCATTTTCCCCACCACTCACCCCCGCTCAGAGGAGCTGAAAATGGAGTACGATATCGATGGTGGAGGTAACCCATTTTGCTTCCCTTTTGCCGCGGGTTAATTACCTCTTTATTAGCGGGAGTTTGTCCACGCCTCAGTGGAGCCAAATCGAGAAACATATCCACAATCAGCAATACAACTCGTGGGAAATATTGGTGTGGAATTGCAGCCACGGTGTCAGATTAAGCTATCTGTAGGGAGGATAACACTTGTGGCTGTCCATTATCCCTGACATCAAAAGCACGCTCACCCCGCTGCGATACGCAGTGCTTAAAAGAGAACTAACCACGGCTATTAAAGAGGTTGCCCGGAGGTTTGAGCAGGGACTGAGAGAGCTGCCTCGGCGAGACAAAGCCAGACCCTCTGTCATGAAAAACTTGACCTCCGACCTAAAGAAGTTCCTGGTCTGCCCGGGGGACCAGGGCTTCATCCTGGCTTTGCTGGACAGCTGCATTGACTGTGTGAATCTACCAAATGGCATGAAGTGGATGAAATATGTCATCCAGCTAGGCCAGAAGGACATGCGGCCTCTGCGGTGAGGTGAGCTGTTCTCTGTACCTGAGCACATCAAGGCAGTGTCCTTCCACGTTGAGTGCACCATCACATCCAGGGACAGCTCAGTGGACCGGAAGACGTCAAGATTCGGGCTGAATAGAGTGACAGGGAACAATGGCTACTCGTACACTTACATGTCCATGCGGGACACGTCAAACTGCCAGTCCAACCTGAACCACAAGAGGATGGACTTGTCCAGACACGTTGTAGATATTTTTCTGGCAGCCACTCAACTTCTTGCAGTTCTACTGTGACACACCCCACCGTCACCAGTCGCCCTTCTACAGGCACCCAACGAGTGGTGCTATAGTGTGCTGTGGTGCCCTCCAGAAGGAGTACAATAAGACACTGTTGAAGAGGGTGAGCAACTACATCAGTCATTTCAAGAACCTGTCTTGGAAGTCCAACATTCAGCTGGCTTCTAGGGTGGAGGCTGCTTCTCCTGCATGGACAGGATGTGCCAGGGGACATTCTGTCTGAGAACTTTTTTCATGTGGCTAGACTCCACGAGTTGCTTAGGAACGAGGTAATGCTTGTTTCGTTCAAGCACATCGACGAACAGGGAATGCACACAATGGTCATGGCCGTGACACTTCACCTGGTGCTGACGCTGGAAGCCCTTTTCATCCAGTCCCGTATCTGCGGGGGCTACAACGAGACGTGGAGGGCCTTCCTGTGCTCAGCAGCCTCGCCTCTCATCTCCACCAGTGTATGAATGTGTGTGTGAATGGATGAATGATACACTGTAGTGTAAAGCGCTTTGGAGTCCTTACTCTGAGAGGCGCAATACAAGTGCAGGTCATTCATTCATCATTCCAGCACGAACTGGCCCCTGAGGAGTTCTTCCACGGACATCCACGCAACCACTCTTCCACAGAATTCAATGTGAGCTTGGGGACCTCGTCCATCCACATGGACAGCATGACTAGGCAGCGTGGGTTTCTGGCTCCATCGCCCTGGTCATCTGCCAGCGTGGGCATGGCTCCACTGCCGCTCCGGATCTGGAACTCGGACGACACCTACATCTTTCGGATGACGCAGATGTTCCAGCTGTGCATGGCCTTGGAGGCCAACGAGGCTGTGCTGGGCATAGAGATTATGAAGTTGCTTCTCAGGGACATCTATGGGCGTATGTGCACCCTGCCTTTGGCCGTGCTGACGGGCGAGGAGGACAACAAGGTGAGGCCCAAGGACTCCTTGGAGTACACTGACCTGTTAAAGAATGTGACCGAACACATCAGGTTCTTCCGCTTCCCCCATGTTCAGAGGGTGCACGATCTCCTCAACGAGAAAGGCAAGGACTTCCAGGACCTGCTGACTAAGGGACTGGAGGCCCTGAAGCTCAAGTTCTTCCCCAAGATCAGGTACCGCAATTACCGTGGTGGAAAGAGGGTGACCTGGGACTACAAGGAGTTCATTGAGGTGAGGCCTGTGGGTGCTCCCGTGACCACCACCAGTGCAGCTGACACCCTGAGTGAGCAGATCCTCCTAGAGCAGCACAACAGGAAGCTGACAAGACAGGGCCACCTGGAGAGGTATCAGGAGTGTATGTAATTTCAGGGTTGTACTACTATTAAAGGTGTGAAGGGTCCTTGTTGGCTTAGCAATCTTAAAAGTTATAACCTTGTTAAAGGCACTGCCCTAGATTACATGCACTCAGTACTCCTTGGAGTGATGCACCTTTTGATGGTTCTGTGGTTTTCTACAGAGTTTTCATGTCATCCCTTCAGCATGGCCAAAAATGCCAAAGAAATTGAAAGGAGATTTCAGGAAATTTCTCCTTCATCCTCAATTCTATAACCTCGGTCAGTGACATCTCACAGAATGTTTTTCAAAGCATCAGAATTTCGTGCTCTTTTGCTTTTCTATGCACCTGTTGTTTTCCGTGGAATTATTGCAACACTGTACTACAATCACTTCTTCTTCTAATCACTTCTACTAAGTGAAACGATTTTCATTTTATTGATGGAATCGATATCATTTGAACAGATAGATCATGCAGAAAGACTATTGTGGAACTGTTGTTCTCAAATTGCTACACTCTATGGTGACGGGTACAAAACTGCAAATGTACACCTTCTCGTGCACATAGCAGACAGTGTCAGGGCCCTTGGCCCATTATGGACTCATTCATGTTTCCATTTTGAAGATAAGAATGGACATTTGTTAAGGCTTATACATGGCACTCAAAATATACCTATGCAGGTGATCCATGTAGTCATACTTGTGCAGTCTATTCCTGTTATTTCACAAACCATAAAGCCAGGGAACGCCATTGCTTAATTTTACACACATACAACCAAAGATGATATTTTCTGTGCGGGAAACCATGATTTGTGTAGGACTAAACTATATGGTGCATCTACTGTACTTCAACTGGATACAGTTCACCTCTCTGCTTTGGAAAGATGTGCTGGTCACTGCATCAATTCTACAACAGTAAGGGTCTTTCACAGGGCAAAAGTTGAGAGGAATTATCTCACATCAAAACACTAAAGGAAAGGCAATAGAAAAAACAATTTCACAGTTGGTTTTTCTAGTGAAGGACAAAACAATATGGAAAGATAGATTTCTTCTTTGTCACAGAACAATTCTGTGTCAAATGGGCCCTAGTTCATGAATTCAACGATGCAGGTTTTTCTTTGCTGCAAGATAGTAGAACAAATGGTACATGCAGTCATGTTATTCCACTTTTGGAAACCTCTGTCAGTACAGTGGTTCCCTTGGATTGTATTTTGGGTAAAGTTATTTACCTTGACTTGACATCTATGCCTGGCATAGTGTTTGTAGCTTATTTACCAAACACACTTGAAAAGTTTTAACCATTAAGACCAAAACTGACCAATAACAACATTGACCTCTGTATTTTTACTGTTCTGTATAACACATCTTTGCTGTGACTTCTGTAAAAAGCAACCATTTTCATTTATATATTTACATAACTGTTAATTAAACTGAGAGTGCAATGTAAATATCTTGAAATTTCATGAATTAAAAAAATCAAATAGATAACTTTTGAGCGCATTGTGGCTGTGTTAATAGTCTTTAAATGTTCTAGCTTAAAATTATAATTAACAAGTTATGACATGTAAGAATTCAACAAGTTTTGTAAGTTGAACATTATGTAAATGTAAATCTCAATTGAATTGTATTTTGTCAAGAAATAAACTGATCTATGTGTCATTTGAGAGCTTGCATTGCTCTGATTTTTCTTTTTGCTATGGTGAAAAAAAGACTAAGCTGAGAGCTAACTTAGTGAGCAATGAGAGACGCCATCATTGCTCACCGAGACGTGACTGAGATAGGGATTTGAAGTGAGGATATCATATTGAGACGTTCTTGAAAGTGGCACTACATGTCTCATTTCTCACTTATCTGAGATCAGGAAAAGAGGCAGTTGTAAAAGGATTTTGAGATTTCACATGGTGCTCACTGTAAGACTTATTTGAGAAGAATGCGAAAAACACTTCAGTCTCGATTAGTGCTCATTTGTATCTAGGAGAGCAAATGTGACAGAAATGAGATCTTATCTTCAATTTAACTTTGCTATGGGTTTTCAACACACGTCTCAAGGCATGGCAATATTTTACATTTTCATTTTACAACATTTTAGGGGGCGAGAAGGAGATTATATGCTCAGAAGCCAAAATTACATGAGACAGTCATGTACGTACCACACAAAAAGAATGACCATTTCAGTCCGAGGAGTGGTTTGGTGGAATAGCATAGAGGAAAACATAAAAAATGTAAAACTGTTGTACTATTAAACAAATTATATAGAAGAAAACTTATGGAAAATGACTAATTTGCTAATGAATATGATAGACATTAAGGATTTGGTAAAGCTATGAAAGTCAATAAGATCTGATTTTGAATTTTGATTTTGGATTTAATTTAAGATGTAAAAGAATAAGTGTTTAGATGATTTCTTGCTAATGTGAAAGTTCAAATTTTGCTTATTGATTTGGTTTATGATATATGTGTAGAGATGTTTATGTGGATTTTGGAATTGGAAAGATGTCGAGGGATAGGGCAATGAAAAGCCTTGAGCTTCTCCCTATTCTCCTTTAAGGACCAAAGAGGAATCTCTAAATCCTCTAAATAAGAAATTTTATTTTGTATTTGATTTTAACTTGTTTGAATGGTCTGAAGTGAGTGAATAAATAAATAAATAAATAAATAAATATAGGCTGTGGTTGGCACTAAATGCACTGTGAGTTATTATTGTGATTGTTCAGTAAAACCATGTTGATTTTATATTTCCTCATTAGGTTGACGCAGGGACAGCTTGCTCCAGTTGTATTGTTGTGTGTTGTTTTTCTCTTTCTGCAGGTATAAACGCAGACTCTTGTTCATCGTTGATTGTTTATTTTGTGGAACCTCCCTCTTCCTTTCTCTTTCACCTCTGTCTCCGTGTCTGGTCGGAATTATAAAACATCCAAAAATAAATAATAATAATGAAGAATTGAGTTGACGATGTGTCGCTACAGCTCTACTCATTGACTCAAATGACTCAATAAACGTGTTTCATTTTGGTGAGTGACCCATTCAAACTCATATCCACATGCTCCCATTGCTCTGAAAACCTGTTATTGTTTTCTGTCTTCAGGTCCCAGCTGAAGGTGAGAGAGTACGGCCCTAAATTATTCCACTTCATTTCAGATGTTTACTTCAGTGCTGGTTTTTAAATCTGAGTTGAACACCTATTTTTAATATTGGGCTTTTAGTGATGTGTAGTGACATTATTGTTTTTATGTATTGTTGATTGTACTGTTTTTACAGTTTAAACAGTTTTATTATCTATGTTCATGTCTGAACAGCACTTTGTCTGGCAGTTAGTTGTTTTAAGCTGCTTAATAAATAAATAAAGGTAAAGTTTGGTAAATGATATGTAATCCTTGAATAAGATTGCATGTCTATAAAAATAATAAAAATAAAAGTAGGTAATTATCAAGTAACAAGGCTGAAACTGAAATTGTGTGCTCCTTTTTGCTAATTGATAAATGTCATTACTTTAATCTTCTGATAAAGCAAAAGCTTGAAAACCTTTCATCTCTCTTTTTTAGAACCAAGTAAAAAAAAATGCAAACCTTTCTACAGATGTAGTCACCAGGACTGAAAACTTGTGGTCGAAGTTTTAACACCAGCTCCACCAGGAGGCCAGCCTCACAGTCCTGGAAAATATGCACCTAGCTCCATGCAAACATACACAGACACATACAAAATAATGCAAGTACAACAGGTCTCAGAAGAAAGATACAATAAAAATCCACTACAATTCAATAAACATCGTAGAAATTAGACAATATAATGTTCAAGTACCTAATTTATGGCACAGTCATAATTTCAAAAATATTTTTACCACATCCATTAATTTTCTTACACCTATCTGGGGTTGTGTTGGTGCAGCAGCCCAGACTTCCCTCTCCCCAACCACTTGAGCCAGCTTTTACGGGAAAATCTCAAGGCGTTACCTGGCTAGCCGAGAATCATAGTCCCTCCAGCATGTCCCGGGTCTTTCTTTGGGTCCGCTCCCGGTTGGACATGCCCGGAAAACCTCATTCAAATGACACTAGCTATGTTTACATGTCAGATCAAAATTCAGATAAAAAATTCTTCATGTGAACATGTCAATCAGAATATTCTGATCTGATACGGCCCAATCGGATTTAAATTTCCTTCTGATTGAGAGAGGTGGTTTTTGCCCGATCATCATTCCGATTGACGTCCATGTACACAATCCGTTTGGATTGTTGGAGTAAAATAATGCCCACTGTACATATGTGCAACTTCAGCATGAAATCTTTCCCCCTTTGCAGATGCTCAGGACAAGTCAAAAACATGGCGGGAGGTAAACATAAGTGGTATGTTGCAGACACTATTTTTTTATAACTGTAGTGAGCGGGTGATTGTTAGTAAGTTGTCCTGCTCTCCTCTCCTGTGGTGGAGGAGCAGTAGCATTACGTACCGCTGAGTGGGTAGCTTAGCTAAAGCAATAAGTTAAAACAAAAGCATGAAACAAGCAAAAATGCGAAGAAGGTCCATAATGGGGGAAAACGTAAGTCAACGGACAAAGCTAGAGAATAAGGAAATAAAATGCAAGGGGAAAGACGTAAGGACAAGATGACGTTTGTTTACACTTTTTTCCCCGGGAAAGACAGCTCTGCACATGCTCAATCTATTTAATCTGATTGAATGCTTGGTGTATGTATACTCACGGCATGATTGGATCATTTCACTTAATTACTATGTAAACAGACATTTGGGATTTCCGATCAAGTAACATTTGAATCTGACTGGGAAAATTTGGTGCATGTAAACATAAACGATTTGGGTCTTTCACAGCTCTTCAGGGTTGCACTCAACATCTGGTCAATTGGGAATAAAACCGCCATTTTAAGGTACCGTAAATCCTCTAATACAGGCCCGGGCCTGTATTTGACTCAAGCTCACCAAGCTCCAAGCCTTTATTGGAAGGAGGGCCAGTATTAGAGGCAGGCCTCTATTTCTATTTGAGCAAAATGAACTAATGGTTCGTTGGAGTTTTTGACAATTAAAATTGCGCCCACATTTTCAAAGTTAAACACATTTCTTTTAACAACGGTAGTTTCTGCTTCAGCCATCTCCCCCCTCCCCCTGCGCAGCGGCCGCAAACTCACTGATGCGCCTGCAGCCTCTCGGAGTTCCTGCTGCTCTAAACATTAAAATAATTATTTCATTTTCTGTTGCTCACTTCTGATTACCTTCAGTGGTGTCTGTTTGTTGCAACCACCAGGTACAACAACTAACTTGCTTTTATTTGACTATTTTTCTGTCCTGTCTGTTTATTATCTTCCTGCATCTCCTCTCAATCCTAAAGAGAAACTGCTACCTGGGTTCATATATATTCACCTTATGAGTTACCTTTGAACTGCAGTTCTAAAAGATCTACCGACCGTAAAAACAGCAGAGTGCTCGCTGCTTGCCGGCCGCATCAGTGATCGGTGCGTCACCGGATGACAAGTTGATGCGCCCCGCTCCACAGCGAAATGTATCGGGCGCAAATAAAAGACAGAAAACATCAAAGGAAATGAACCGACATGAACGATCGCGTGTTAAATAATTTGGCAACACCTGATTGTTACTGTGGCCGTGCTCAGGAGGCAGATTACCAACCGCAAAAACAGCGGAGTGCTCGCTGCTTGCCGGCCGCATCAGTGATCAGTGCGTCGGAGGACAAGGTGATGTGCCCCGCTCCACAGCAGCGAAACACATCAGGCGAAAATAAAAGACAGAAAACATTAAAGGAAATGAACTGACATGAACGATCGCGTGTTAAATTAGTTTTTGAGGTGGCGACACCTGATTGTTACTGTGGCCGTGCTCAGGACGCAGATCTACCGACCGCAAAAACAGCGGAGTGCTCCGTGCTTGGTGGCCGCATCAGTGATCGGTGCGTTGGAGGACAAGGTGATGTGTCCCGCTCCACAGCAGCGAAACACATCAGGCGCAAATAAAAGACAGAAAACATTAAAGGAAATGAACCGACATGAACGATCGCGTGTCAGTACCGACGCTCTGGCAGAGCGCGTTCCACCCCCCCCCCCCCACCCCCCCACCCCCCACCCCCACCCCGAGCGCAGGAGTTTGTCACCTGCTGACAGCAGGCTGCTGTCTTTTCCGAGGGCTGCATCTTGCCGGTCATTATCATGTGACAGTGACTAGTCGAGACAGGCATAAAAAGTCACTATAGTGAAGTCGACTAGTTCACACAACCCCTATTGCACCCCAGTGTTCTGCAGCGCACGTTCTCTTTGAACTTGATATCAAATTTTCGCCTCCTCTTCGTCTCCGCACGGTTAAAGTTACCCTCGCGGTCTATCACTGGCAAATCAAAAGTGAGACGATGACACAACCGCCCCTGTACTTGCTTGTTACCACATTCCACCTGGCCACAATAAGAGACCGGCCATTATTCACCTCCGCCGACTCCGACACCGGCCAAAATTGGAGACCCGGCCTTTAATTGAATACCGGCCTGTATTAGAGGATTTACGGTATAATATTTTTCCAGCATGAGGTGACATTCTTCTGCATGAATGAAACTTGCATTCTTCCTGGTGAGTCAGTTGTACTATCAGAACTCTGTTCCTCAGATTGTCAGGTTTTGAACGAGCCAAGGCTTACTAGTTGTGGTGGTCAAATCAAGACAAGACTGAAGTTCTCATCTTTGGACCTGACATTCAGAAAAGGAAATTGCTTAGTCGATCACCTGACCTGAATGGCATTACATTAATCTCCGAGAACAAAGTAAGGAACCTTGGTGTTATCTTTGACCAGGACATGTCCCACGTTAAACAGGTTTGTAGGATATCCTTTTTCCACCTTCGGAATATTGCTAAGATTAGAAGCATCCTTTCCAGGAGTGATGCTGAAAAACTAGTTCATGCATTTATTACATGAAGACTGGATTACTGTAATTCATTACTCTCAGGAAGTCCACAGAATGTAGTTAAAAGTCTTCAGCTTGTCCAAAATGCTGCAGCTAGAGTTCTGATGAGAATTAAAAAGAGAGATCATATCTCTCCTGTCTTAGCTTCCCTACAATGGCTACCTGTTAAATTCAGAATAGATTTTAAGATCCTTCTTCTCACATATAAAGCTCTTAATAATCAATCTCCTTCATACATCAGTGATCTGATTGTTCCATACGTTCCTAACCGAGCACTTTGCTCTCAGACTGCAGTTCTACTGGTGGTTCCCAGAGTATCTAAAATTAGGATGGGAGGCAGATCTTTTAGCAATCAGGCTCCTCTTCTGTGGAACCAGCTCCCAGTCTTAGTCCATGAGGCAGACACCTTGTTTACTTTTAAGAATAGGCTTAAAACATTTTATTTGATAGGGCCTATGGTTAAAATCTGATGTTAGCCCAGATCTGGACAAGTGGGGGAGTAGAGGGAGGTGGAGTGTACAGTCGGTAAAGACGGCTCTCCCTTGCCCTGCCTCCAACATGGCTCCATCTAAATAGGATAGATTATCCAGAGTTATTTCTGTAGTTATGCTGCTATAGGCTTAGACTGCTGGAGGACATACTGACCACTTTCCACACTCTACTACCTTCTTCTACTATCTGCTCTTTAACTGTATTATTTCCTGCTATTTCAGCTGTTAACTTTATTTTTCTTTAAGTGTTTTTCTCCCCAGAAGAAGCTACAATGATGTTCTGCTGAGCTGTGGTGGCCTCATGGAGGGGGCCATCGGCTAGCACACTGCTGCTAACCACTAAAACATTCTCCCCCTCCTGATAATAACATTTTACTCTCTTTGACATTGAATGTGCTACTACTAGTTTACCCGTTTAATAATAGATTCACTAGGATAAATACAATAAAGTTTATCTCTCACCAAATAGAATATTTACTAAGAAATCACAATGTAGCCATAGAAACACTACTTGGTGTATATGTTGTGTGTGCGCGTGCGTGTGCGCGTGCGTGCGTGCGTGCGTGCGTGTGTGTGTGTGTGTGTGTGTGTGTGTGTGTGTGTGTGTGTGTGTGTGTGTGTGTGTGTGTGTGTGTGTGTGTGCTCTGTCTTCTCCATCCCCAGTGAGTCGTGGTGGATGGCCGCTTATACTGAGCCAGGATCCTCTGGAGGTTTCTTCGTAATAAAGGGAAGTTTTCCTCTCCACTGTCGCTGCATGCTTGCTTAGTATGAGGATTGCTGTATAGTCACTGACACTAGTCAGTGACTCGATGCAACTCGCTGGGTTCCTTATATAGGAAACTTTGTATGATTGGCTTAATGAACTGACCTGTACTGGAATGTTTACTGTGTGAAGGTCCTTGAGACGACTCATGTGATTTGGCGCTTTATACATAAACTTGAATTGAACTGAATTGAAAATTGAATCTTAGTCAAAAGAACATATATACATGCATCCACAGTTAAACTATGATCAGTAGAGTTTAATATACTTCATTAACATGTAGAGTGGTACTGGAAATGCTGATAACATTTTATTTCTACTACTAAAAATGGAATGGTGACATATCTATTGAGTACAGGTTAGCAATAATCTGTTTTGAATTAAATGCTACAGTGGGTTGCCATTTTCCTGCTACGGTGTGTGGAGCAGACTTGAATCAGCAACCTGACGGCTGTGGTTCTGCTGTATAGTGCTGCAGACAGCTTAGAATAAACAGGATGATTGGTACTTTTTCCCGCTTGTAGAATTTAGATGTTCTTAGTTTCACAACCATTGTTTTTTTCGGAACCCCACTTGATCGTGAGCCGCTAGCATTAGCTAATCTGCCCGTAGTTGCACTTTTCATCCCAAACTTTGGACCGTTTCTGCCGTTGTGTCTTTTCTGTTTTCTCAGTTTTTCTTCCCAGATTAGGACATTGTGGGCCAGTAAAAAGCATCTTCCTTACAAAAAAACAAGTAACTTACCTTGGTTCAATAAAGTTCGGGGGAAAAATTGACTTGAAAAGATGTTGTACAAGTGCTACGTTTAAAAATAGTTTTTTTCATTGAACGCAGCCGTGCTCCAAGACACCTCCCAAGGGAGGTTTTTCAAGGATGTCCTGCCAGCAGGAAGCCCCCATGTCGACCCAGGACATGCTGGAAGGATAATGTTTCCACATTTGGCCCACCAGTGGAGCTGGTGGAAGTTGCTGGGGAGAAAATGGTTTGGGCCTCTCTGCTGGGTTGCCAATTGGCTTTATAATTGGTGCCCATAGTTTAAATGCAGAATATTTACCACCTTAAGGTTTGATGGGGTTGAGTCTTTACCATTTTCAATGTGTCCAGATGAACATTTATTGCAATTTCTGCTCGTAGCTTATTGGGCAAGTTCCTCAGCACTTCCTGTTCATCTATTGTCTTCTTATTTGTCCAGAGGTAATCAAACCAGCGAATAACCCGCTGCTCCAGCACCTTGCTGACATGCCTGAAGTGCATGTAGTGTTTGAGTGCATCTACACGGGTTTGAAAGGTTGCTCTTGTTGCATTCATGTTGGAGATCATGGATCCAACATTACCAACAATGGAGGCAAAAATCAAAACACCAACCTGAAGCAGAAACAACATTAGACCCAGACAACAACAATTTACGAATTGTAGATATTAGGAAATTAAGACAAGGTTTTTTAAACTTACCAGAAAATCAAATATCAAAAACAAGTATTCCTCATCTCTTTCAGGAGGAGGTGTCTCTCCAATGGTGGTTAGGGTTAGTGTTGACCAATACAGACAGTAGATGTAGCTTCTGCTCAGGGAGCCAAACTCTGGGTCCGATGCATTGGGATAAACCCACGAGTCAGAGCCCAGTCCCAGGGCTTTGGAGAAGCTGTAGTACCCACAGGCATTCCAGTGAATGATGACGAGGATGTACAGGACCAGCTTCCAGATTCGGAAAGCGTTGGGGAAGCTTGTCCGGGTTTCAGTTCGTTCAAAAAGCTCTAAAAGTCGGGAGAGCCGCAGCAGCCGGTTGAATCGTAAGAGGGGTGTGAAACTCATCCCAATTGTGAGGTACAGGAGGTCCGTAGGGAGAATAGAGCAGATATCGAGCTTACACTGTAATGTTCCAATGTAGGTTTCCCTCAGGCGTTTCACATCTTTTACCAACAAGCCCTGATCCAAGAAGCCTTTAAATACAGCATAACAATGTCCAAATTTATGACTTTAAACCAGAACAGAAGTTATCTGAATTAGAATATTTACGTAAAATTACATTTTGAAAATGACAAGTTCAAAGTACCAGTATGGAGACGAACAACAATATCCAATATATAGATGCCATCACAGACGTAGTCCAGCACCAACCACACCAAGATGTTTTTTGTCTGCAACTCATCAAAACACGCTCTTTAAATCAGAACAAATACAAAAAGGCAAATAGAAGATGAGAGAAATGTGGTTTTAAACAAACACCACACATTTAACCAGAAATGTTCATGAAGTGTCCTTTGAAATAAAAGTAACTCTAATGAAATATTTTTTTTAGCTTATGTGATTGTAGTTGAAACAGAAAATAATGTACCGGTAGTTCTGTAGTAATAATGTTGTTCAGTTGGTGAGCCACTAGAGGGAGCTATTGCACTATTTATTGTTAGACCTCCAGTAGCTTAAGAAGAAGTAGTCTTTTAAAGAGCAAATTATCCATCCATTTTCTGAACCAGCTTTGTCCACGTAGGGTCGCAGGGGGGGTGGGGGGTGGGGGGGTCTGGTGCCTATCTCCAGTGGTCAACGGGCAATCAGGCGGGGTACACCCTGGGCAGAGAGCCAGTCCATCGCAGGGCAACACAGAGACACACAGGACAAACAATCATGCACACACACACTCACACCCAAGGACAATTTAGACAGACCAATTAACCTAACAGTCATGTTTTTGGACCGGGGTGAGGAAGCTGGTGTACCTGGAGAGAACCCACGCATGCA